AAGGCTCTGTGTCTTTGAAAGGCAGTGTGCGGGTAACATTTTGGCCTTTGCTTGAGTCTAGAATATAACACTTCAAAAATTTTAAGTTATGATATGTTAGACTTAACAGGTAAAGCTGGTAGCTTTCCAGTAAAATATTAAGAATGATATTTGAACTGGCACTGGTGGCTCAGGTTTGTAATCCTAGCGACTCAGGAGGCTGAGGTCTGAGGATTGAGGTTCTAAGCCAGTCTGGGCAGGGAGTCCATGAATGTTTTATTCCCAATTAAACACCCAAAGGAAAAAAGCCTGAAATGGAGCTGAGGCTCAAGAGGTGGAATGCTAGCTTTGAGCAAGCTAGTCTTTAGCATAAAAACTCAGGGACAGTGCCAGGCCCTGAGTTCAGATCCAGGGCTAGCACATTTTCACATTGGTGTGCGTGCATGTGCACATGCGCGCGCACACACACACACACACACACTCACGATATATGAGCCCTGTAATACTAGCTACTCAAGAGGTTGAGATCTGAGGATCACAGTTCAGAGCCAGCCTAGATAGAAAACCCCATGAGACTCTTACCTTTAATTGGCCAGCTAGAACTGGAGGTGTGGCTTAAGTGGTAGAGTGCCAGCCATGAGTGAAAAAGCAGCGCACAAGCTTGAGGCCCTGACTACCAAGTCCCAGAAGTGCCAAGAATGAGGATACACAAGATACTAATTCAAGAACTGAAAACTTGAACTGTAGCACTGTGCAGTGGGTGATGTTGAAATACCAAAGCTGAGGTTTGGCAGACATTCTTGAAGGGGTGCGACTCTCACCTTGACCCATAAATGACGCATTACAGAGGTAGCAAGCACCCGAGCTTCTGCACGTAGGGCTCTTACTCCAAACCTCACTCTCCTAAACTTTCAGAGCACCCCCTTAGCTGTGAGTGAATCCCTGCTGGGGACCTGTGTCCTGGCCGTGCCGCTGGGCTGTCAGGCTGTGTTGCCACAGCCCTGGGTGGCTGGAGAGAGCGGCCACCGTGTGCACACGCGTACGTGTGTGGAGGCATGTGTTGTGCAGCCTCGGTCATGTGACAATAGCAGTTTGCAACTCTGAATCACAGAGAAGGTTTGTTTTCCTGTTCTGTCAGTTCCAGTTAGAAGCCGGTGGCAGATGTCCTCATTAGGGGCCATTACACATCAGGATGTGTGCGCTGGGCCCGGACAAGGCTCACCCTCTTTAGACACTGGCCCGTCCACACATTCCAGGGTAGCCGGTCCCTCCGGGGGGTGACAGCACTAGAGCTGAGGGGCAAGGGGGGGCTCCAGATCCCCCTAAAACTCGACGGGGGTGCCTTTCGCAAAGGTTTTTGTCCAAACAAGGGGTTTTGTTAAGTGGAGACTGTAAAATGTAGGGCGATGTTTTGCCGAAATACTGTTGTTACCCTGAAGTAGAAGCTTCTGGGTTTCTCCCCTGTGGCAGCATCACGTGCAGCACCTGTGCCAGAGCGAACGGAGGTGGAGGTCAGGGAAGGCCCTGTGCAGGGGGCTCCTGGGGGGGGGGGGACAGCTGCGACTTCCCTCCCTTCCCCACCTCCAGGGCCTGCCTGCCGTGTAACCCTATCCGCTGGTGACTCCATGAGCCTCCTGCTGTGGTGTGCACCATGGAGCCCTGGCCATCCCAGCTTCCTAAGGATGGCGAAGACAGGAGGAGGGCAGCCGGCAACGGCATCGTGCGAAGCCCAGCCACCTCCATGGGGCGGCCGGTGTCCCCTGTTTGGCTGATCCCATGATCCCTTTGGGCCCTCTGAGGGGCACGTGCGTGTGCAAAGGTCTTTCCAGCCCTTGCCGCTAAATGATTAACAGCGGCTTGGACGACGGGCAAGGTCAGAGCGAAGCTGCGACCTTGAGTTGTGTTGAGAAGCAGCTGAGATGCCAGCGGAGGACGGATTTCCATGGAATGGAAGCTGGGGGCTGGGGGGAGGGAGTCTAGACCTGCAGAGTCTATCAGAGAAAAAAATAGCATGTGAATGTGAATGGAAAGCAGTTTAATGCCGTGTTTTACTTTGTGAGATTCCACACCTCCTGAATTTGCTAGGTTTGTGTGACCTTGGACACCAACCAGATAGATGTGAGTTCAAACCCAAAGCTGTCGGTTCCAGTCCTGTAACTTTGGCAGTCTGAAGTCTGACCTCCCGCCCCCTATCTGCAGCTCAGTTACCTAGAATCTCAAAACCTCTGTGCTTCCCCTCTCCCCCAAGTTGAACTGGATTGGAGATAGGAGCCTTTTGGAGTCCTCTGCTGGGGCTGGCTTTAAACTCAGCCTCCTGAGTAGCGAAGGTTACAGACAGGAGCCACAAGCACAGCCTTTTCAGGGCCATCTCAAATTGTTTTGAAGCTCAAATTAGATACAATTTATAAAAATGTCTGAGAGGCACTTAATAAAGACAGTTTCCCTTCCTTCTTTCTCTTCTGCTTTTAAAAATTAAGATTTAGGAGTACTATAAATAAAACCGACAATCAAATTTGTTTTAACTGGAGTCGGGGAGAAAGGCTACACAAGAAGGCCTGGCCGGCGGTGTGGGAGCAAACAGGAAGCGGGCAGGTCGCCTTGCTTCCAACAGGCAGATCTAGCTGCTTACCAACAAGCTAGAAAGTATTCTTCAGAGAGAAGAAAAAGCTTACAAAAACAGCGGCAGAGTTTGTTGGCCAAACATCTCAGGCCCGCTGTCTGAGGACTGGAAACCCAGGAATTTTGGAAACACAACCCTGTCTTCATTTTCAGTGGTAGAAACCCTAAACTTCCTGCTCTGGAAAGTGGGGGTGGCCACTAGGATTTCTGCCAAGAATAGTCTGCCCCCCCCCCCAGCCTGGGTTGGTGCTGCCATCTGATGTCTGAACTTGGTATTGCACAATGTAGCTTCCATCAGCTTCTATGGAAATAGAAGTTCTAGGTTTGTTTTTCCTTCTTCAGTACTGGGTCTTGAACTTATGGCCTCGTACTCTTACTCTGCTTGCTTATGGCTGCTGCTCTGCCACATGACCACACCTCCACGACTCTAGATTTTTTCCCATGTTGGGGATGGAACCCCCAGCCTGAGGAAAGCGAGGTAGCTCTACCTCAGAGCCACACCCAGGTCCTTTACTCCAGCTTTCCCAGCGTGATGAGAAATTTACTCCCGAAAGGCGATTGCTGCGAAGTCACTGCCACCGGGCCTAGGGAAATGTGCACAGGGGCGGGGGAGCGCTCTGTTGTTCCCAGCTCTGCTTTCTTGGGCATTAACAGTGCAGACGCTCTATCACATTTCAGCCCTCGAGGCCCTGGGTAAAATGCCTTTGCTCAATCTTTGCAACTTTCTTATTATCCTGCAGAGTTATTTTTGCAGTCCGTGGTTTGTTATTGTAGAGATGCTTGCTAGTAGAACTTGCCAGACAAGCTGGGAAGAGGCCAGGACTGAGGAGGGGCCCAAATGCACCCCAAGGTATTTTTGGACCAGGGTAAAAAAGTGAAAAAAGGTCTGCAGAACTGTTCAGACAGTTCGCATTGACAAGAGCACTGATTTTACCTCATTTATATACTTATTTTGCATTACTACTAGGGTTTGAACTTGGGACCTCATTTGTGCTTGCTGCGCTGGCTCCTAGCACTTGAACCATGCCTCTAGTCCTTCTTTGCTGGTTCTTTTGGAGATGGGGTCTAGAGAACCCTTCCTTCCTTCCTCCCTTCCTTCCTCCCTCCCTCCCTCCCTTCCTCCCTCCCTCCTTCCCTCCCTCCCTCCCTCCCTTCCTTCCTTTTTCTTTTATTGGTTGTGGGGCTTGAACTCTGGGCCTGGGCACTGCCCCTGAGCTCTTCTGCTCAAGGCATGCACTCTACCACTTGAGCCACAGTGTCACTTCCAGTTTTCTGGTGGTTCATTGGAGATAAGACTCTCACGGACTTTCTGCCTGGGCTGGCTTTGAACCATGATCCTCAGATCTCATCCTCCTGAGTAATTAGGATTACAGGCATGAGCCACCAGCACCTGTCGCCTGATGTGAATGGGACTGTGGAGTGGTGGTTGAGGAGGAATGTGGCAGAACGGCCGCATGCCTGGAAGTAGCCTGGGAAGTATTCTGGGATGGGGGGCAGACCAGCAGCAGTAGTACTTGAACTCAGGCCCTCACAGTTGCCAGGCAAAGTAGCATACTCCACCATTTGAGCCACAACTCCAGCCTTTTTTTTGGTATTTTTCAGGTAGTGCCTCACTTTTTTTTTTTTTTTTTCCTGAACTAGCCTCAGATCACAATCCTTCTGCCTGTGTCTCCTGAGTAGCTGGATCACAAATGCGTGTCACCATGTTTGGCAAACCTGGGTTTTACACCTGCCTCAGCCCTGCGGCTGCTGGCAGGCACTTTGCTGGTTTCCTTTCCTCAACTACATACTATCTCAAAAACAGGTAGCTGTGAACAGATGACCCAGGACCGAGACGAGGAGGCAGAGCCGGGCTGGGGCGGGCAGGAGTCTCCTTGTAGCCCTTTGCCACTGTGGTCGGGTAGGAGATGCTCAGGGATCGTTCCCTGGAGCGTGACATGGGGAGGCTGAAGTGGGGTTTGTTTCCAAGATCCGCACATTATTATGACGGCCCTGGGCCTTCCCGGCTAGGGAGTGTGTGTCTCAGACAGCTGTGTTCACGCGTGAGCCGCAGGGTTGTGCGTGAGGGCCTTCCCCAGGGCGACTTGCGTTCACTCCCGTGCTTGTCCGCCAGTGTGCGGGCTTCTGTGGTGTGGGCAGGGCCCGAGGACAGGGGGACTCGGGTCCCGCCCTCAGGGACAGAGGTGTAGACCGGCCCCACGGGTCTGCTGAAGAGCCGCAGAGCGGGGCTGTGTTTTCCAGCCACAGTCAGGGAAAGCCCGCTTAAAAACAGTGAGGCCTTTTTGGCAGAGGAGCAGGCCACTGAAGGCTCATGCTGGCGCGCTTTCCTTTGCGCTTTTCAGTATGTTGTACACTCTTTGCCAGGAAGGATGACGGTGTGACCGATGTCTCTCCCTCCGCAGACACCTGTGGGCCGTGACTCACTGTGGCCTTTGCTTCCCCCGAAGAAGGCAGCAGCATGGCCAGCGTGCTGTCTCGCCGGCTGGGTAAGCGCTCCCTCCTGGGGGCCCGGGTGCTGGGACCCGGTGCTTCGGACGGGCCAGTGGGGACTGGAGCACCCTTGGAGCCGCCGTTGGAGCTGCCAGAGGGGGCCACTCCACGGCCCACCCTCGCCCCTAAGGACCCTGCATGCCAAGAACAGCCCAAGGAGGCCCGCAAGGCTCTGGGCACCCCGGGCCTCCAGCAGGTGGCCTTTCAGCCTGGACAGAAGGTAAGTGGATCCAACCCAGACAGGCCCTGCGTCCAGGGCTTGGGCCTTGGTTTCCCTGAGTGACCAGCTGGAAACACTGTGGGCTCTGGTTTGAGCTCGGACTGCCTCCTCCAGTCCTGGGGCTCTAAGCAGTGAATGCGCTGTCATTTCTCCCTTGGGGGCCCATGGCAGTGTCTAGTCGACAAGGTGGCCACGCATTCTGGGATGCTCCAAGCATCTTTACACAGTCTGGAAAAGGGCCTCAGTCTATGGGAGTTGACAGCAGGCAGGGCGAGGCATGCCTGTAATCACAGCAGTTGGGAAGGCTGAGGCAGGAGGATTTTAAGCTTAAAGCAAGCCCTGCCTTCCAGCTCCTCCTCACGGATGTCTCTGAAGGGAGGGACACAGGGCACAGGCAGTCCTGGGCAGGTGGCACAGTGGATGTGCAGGGGCACCGGCAGCGATTCTAGATTCAGAGCGAAGCCCAGCTGCCGGTCCACCCCCTGGCCCAGGCCAGGGTCCATAGGGATCTCTGGGGAAGAATGGGTGGTGGTGAGTACTGGGACCTGCGCGGCAGCCTGCCTGTCTCCAGAAGCTGTAACAATACCACACGAGTCATTTGTGGATGATCGTTTTCATTTGACTTGATGTTCAGGGGGCTGGGAATGAGAGGTGAGCAGAAGAACGAGAGGGGCCGGACTCGATTGTAGGTACCCTTGGTATCCAACCCACTCTCTGCATAGCTAACCTGTTCCTGTGATGATGGTATTAATCCTGTCCCACAGCAGAGCTGCCATGTTCTAGCGACTTTCTAGCGCTGTTCCGTGGGGTATTCCTGAACTTTGGGGACAGACTGTAGGGGAGCGCATGACTTAAAGATGAATGTGCCCAGGGAGACCGTGGCAGACTGGTCCTGACTCCCGGCTGTGGGCCCGGGTGGGGTCTTGGGCGAGCTGACCAGGTCCCGTTCCCCGCAGGTGTGTGTGTGGCATGGCGGCCAGGAGCGCTTGGGGCTGGTGGAGCGGCACCGCTGGGCGGAGGACGAGGTGACGGTCTGGCTGCTGGACCAGAAGCTGCAGGTGTGCTGCAAGGCAGAGGAAGTGTGGCTGGCGGAGCGGCAGGGCGCCCCTGCGCCTCAGGGGCCTCCCCAGGAGCATGGGGCCCGGGGCCCGGCCTACAGACCCGTCTCTAGGAACATTGACGTCCCCAAGAGGTTTGTGGGGGCAGTGGGGGCACGGTGTGGACTGCATGGAGGGGTGCTGGGTCCTAGGTGCCTGCCAATACGGATGGCATTCTTTCAGCAGAGATGGGAGCCCGTGTTCTGCCGAGCTTGCTTATTTATCCAGTTATTTACTTATTTATTTAGCCAGTCCTGGGGCTTGAACTCAGGGCCTGGCCATTGTCCCTGAGCTTCTTTTGCTCAAGACTGGTACTCTACCACTTGAGCCACAGCACCACTTCCGGCTTTTTCTGTGTATGTGGTACTGAGGAATGGAATCCAGGACTTCATGCATGCTAGGCAAACACTCTACCACTAGGCTTCATTCTCAGCCCCATATGGATATTTTTAACAATAGTTATTACATAGGTAATGTACTGTTACATAAGTCAGGTAATGAGTACATTTCTTTTTGGATAATGTCACCCTCTCACTGGCTCTCTCCCAGCTTTTCCCTCCCATCCCTACCCACAAGTTGTATAGTTCTTACACTCCCCTCCCTGGGTCATAGGGCTTGAACTCAGTGCCTGGGTGCTGTCCCTAAGCTCTTTTTAATCAAGGATAGCATTCTACCACTTTGATCCAAATCTCTACTTCTGGGTTTTGAGTAGTTAATTGGAGCTAAGAATCTCATGGGGACTTTTCTGCCTGGGCTGGCTTTGAATTGCAATGCTCAGGTTTTAGTGGCTAGGGTTATATTGGTAAGCACTGGTACCCAGTTGTATAGTCCTTTTTCAACATCGTGTCTAGTGAGTACCACTGCTGCATTTGTTTGTTCACTTTGTCCCTCCATTTCTGTGCCCCCTTACCCTCCCAAAGACATAAACAAGCAAACAAGATAAAAAGAAAACAAATAGCAAAACAGAAAACACTTCTTGTTTCCATCTCCTGGAGTTTATTTTGATAACTGCTATTGTCTATGATCAGATGCACACAGGTCTTTGTGTCACTGTGTGTGAATACCCAGAGTCATTTGGATATTTATGACATTGTTCTCAGGCTGTACAGGATTACCCATAAGGCAGAGGGCCACAGCGTTCAGCGGGAGATGTGCCTGTCTGTCCCATTGTATACCAAATGACATTGGGACCCTGGCAGCCCATGGGCCCAACCTTCCCCATTCCTGTTTATAAGAACACAGAAAGACATCGCTACTCCCTGTAACTCTCAGTTTGGCAAAGGGCTCCTCCCTCCAGGCTTCCACCAAACTCAGCTCCTAGTCTTTAAAGAGGAGACACAGAAAGCAGTTGCTCAGACCTGGAGTTGGCACCCGGCGGGGTGATGTGGGCTTCTGGGCACGGGCTGCTCCAAGGTAGTTTATTTGTGGATCCTCAAACTTGAATGTAATTCAGTACAATTGTTATGTGCCACTTGTCCAGAAATAATATTCCTCTTAAAAAAACTTAAAAATGTAAACTCCTCCCTAGCCCAAGGCCGTGCAAAAGTGGGAAGCAGGCTCTTTCCAGCCTGGATCCCTGACACTTGGACTGGATTGACTATTCAGAGACATCAGTGTTGAGCAAAGAGTGGGTGTTTTGTTTTAGAGTTGTAGGATGCGACTTTTTCCTGGGAATATAGATCTTCGATGTTAGACGATCATTATGCTTTTTTTTTTTCCCTTGCTAGCCTTGGCATTTGAACTCAGGACTTGGACGCAGTCCCTGAGCTGCTTTTGCACAAGGCTAGCACTTGAGCCACAGTACCATTTCTGGCCTTTTCTATTTATGTGGTGCTGAGGAATCGAACCCAGGGCTTTATGCATGCAAGGCAAGCGCTCTACCACTGAGCCACCTTCCCAGCCCCTCATTATGCTGTAAAAAGAGAGTACCCACTGGCATCGCTTCCCACTCCTGCTGTGGAGCAGTGCAGCCTGTCCCATCTCTGGCTGCTTGTTGGCGCGGTTGACAGTAGACCCTGTGTTCTGAGGCCAGGAAGCCACGTTGTGATTGTGTATTCAGCTGGATGCCATCCAGGAGTTTGCTTTTCTGTTCAGTGGAAGTGAAATTCGAAGCTCATAAACTGTTTAACTTAGTGGTTTCAAACCCAGTCGCCTAGTTTAGTAGACTCGAATTATAAAGAGTGATAGTACAACCCTTTGGAGCAGACTAGCTATCTAGAAATTTATTTCAGTTTCTTTTCCTAATACATTAACTTACAGCTCTAATTTTACTTCAAATCAGTGTAATTGTATAGAGAGTTTAAGAAAAATCACATGTCAAATTTAGGGAATCCTGCTGTTTGGAGGTACCAAGATTTATGTTGGATTATTTATTGTATCCTGGCTTATATAATAGGTTCTGTTGGTACTCAGAAGCCAATTTTTGGTAGCTAATTGGAGATAAGATTTGTCTGCCAGGGCTGGCTTCAACCGTTGATCCTTCGATCTTAGCCTCCTGAATAACTAGGACTACCAGCCATCAAAGGCCAGTTGTACTGGCCTCACTTCCTTTCTAACTCTGCAGCTTGAAATTATTTAGGGGAAGAGAGTAGAGTCCTAACAGTGCAATCAAGCATGGTTTCATGATGTCCACTGCAATCCAGAATACTAAAATTCGTCCCCTTCCCTGTCTTATATTTAAATTTAACAGGGAACAGTTGTCTTAGTCAATTTCTCCTTCCTTCTCCCACACATAATAAGGCATTCCGTTAAAAAACTGGAGGCAGGCTGGGCACCGGTGGCTCATGCCGGTAATCCTAGCTGAGAGGCTGAGATCTGAGGATCTGATCTGAGGATTGTGGTTTAAAGCCAGCCTGGGCAGGAAAGTCCGTGAGCCTTTTTTTTTTTTTTTTGCCAGTTGTGGGCCTGAACTCTGGGCCTGGGCGCTGTCCCTCAGCTCAAGGCTAGCTCTCTACCACTTGAGCCACCTTCCCAGCCTGATGAAACTCTTATCTCCAGTAAACCACTCAGAAAACAGGAAGTGGTGTTGTGGCTCAAGTGGTAGAGTATTAGCCTTTAGCTGAAGAGCAGAGGGACAGCATCCAGGCCCAGAGTTCAAACCCCACAAGTGACAAAAAAAAAAAAAAAAAACCCAACAACTAGGGCCATATCTCAAGTGGTAGAGCTCCAGCTGTAAGTGGTAAAAGCCAAGTGAAAGTGCAAGGCCCTGAATTCAAGATTTAGTACTGGCATGCACAGTTGTACAGACACACCAATATGTGTGCTCGTGCACACGCACACACACACACACACACACACACACACACACACACAAAGAATGGAACTCATCTGCTGATACTCGGCTAATTATTGTAAATACCATTCAGAATGAGTTTTTTTTCTCTTGTACTGGGGATTGAACTCCTGGCCTTCAACTTGGTAGGCAGGCACTCTACCATTTGAGCCATGCGGCCTGTCTAGAATGAGAAGACTATCACGGTCGACTTCTCCTATTACGTGGGCACACCGGGCTGTTGGGAGGGGTACGTGGGGACGGTGTCTGTTCCGTGGATGCTGTGGCTCAGTCCACACAGACAGCGCGCTTCCCACCCGCTCATTTGGATGCAGGAAGTCAGATGCAGTAGAGATGGACGAGATGATGGCGGCCATGGTGCTGACGTCCCTGTCCTGCAGTCCAGTTGTCCAGAGTCCCCCCAGAGCAGAGACCAACTTCTCTGGTGAGTAATGGGGGCCGAAGGGCTCCAGGCACAGCAGAGGCCCATGGCTCACCTCGCCTTTGAGCAGCCGATCGCCAGAGTCAGTTTGTCCCTAGGGTTTCTGGAGGCTTTCAGGCCGCCCGAGTGCCACCAAGCCGGCTGGGTGGGCTTTCTGGTGATGTTGTGAAGAGGGTTGAGCTGGGTGCTGAGCCATGCTGGCCATGTGAGCAAGCTCTTGGATGGGCGAATGTGCCACCATGGAGTCTGAACAAGGCCTAAGGAATATTTGGTTCACCAAGGTAGAAGTGGGCCCGATGGTCCTTTGTGGCTTCAGAAAAATCATGCCTCCATTCCAAATGCCTTGTCAGTGAGTGAGATTATAGGCTAGATACCTGAAATCATGGAACCATAAATAAACCAAATTGCTTAATAAAAGCAATGGTATGACTTCAGGTTTCTAAATTAAGACAAAATCCTGCTATTCATGACCTCAAGATACTTTATCAGTGAAATGGGGGAAGGGAAGATTTCTGGCTGTTAGTCCTTTGACAAGACTTGTAGGAAACCTGAAGTTTATTAATATTAATATTATTATTATATGGCTGGCCTGTCTTATTCATTCCCAGGGAATGATTTTTTAATCCACGAGCCCTAATTGAATTGCAAGCTGCCTAAAAGCTTGCAGAATATGGAGTTATCTCTAAGGACATTCCTGAAGGAAAGCAGCCTTTACAAGTGTCCCTCATAAGTAATCATCTCCCTAGATAGAAAAGTAAATATAAAGGAGAGCTAAAGCAGATTTAATTAATTCCACCCAAAGCTTGCTTTGGTGCACTCCGAGGACACCTAGTGGTGAAGCCTGGTAGTGTGTGTCTGCTTTGTTGGCCCAAGCAAAGTCCCAGGGAGAAAGAGGGACCCTTTTTAAGCTGTAGGAACTTTTCCAGGTGTAGGAAAGCCTAGAGGTTGGGTAAGGTCCAGAAAAGTGTCCCAAGTGGGAAGAAAATGATTACTCCACTTCCATTAGGAGTGTGCATGTGTGCACACAACCTGTCTGTAGCTCACTGATAACATACCATAGTCCTGTGCTGTCAGTTCCTGTTTGCTGCTAAAGATTTTTTTAAAAAATTACAATATATGTCTTATTTAAGCCAATGGGAAAGAAAACTTCCTTGGTTCTCAGGATGGAGGGCTCCTCCACTTTTAGCAGATGGGGGGGGGGGTTGTTATTGAGGCTTGCTAGGCAGTCACCTGAGCCACACCTCCAGCCCTTTTAGTTACTTTTCAGATACAGTCTTGCGTTTTGCCCATGGCCAGCTTCAGAGCAAGATTCTCCTACCTCTGCGTTTTCCATAGCTGGGACTGTAGTGCATACCGCCATACCCATCTTTTCTCATGTGTGTCAGTTTTGGACCCTTGAACTGAGGGCTTTACACTCTTGCTAGGCTTTTTCCTTCCAGGGTAGTGTTCTTCTACTTCCCGCTTTCTGGTGGTTAATTGGAGATAAGAGTCTCATGGAATATTCTGCCTGGATTGGCTTCAAACCACAATCTTCAGATCCTAGCCCCCTGGGGAGCTGGGATTGCAGGCGTGAGCCACCAGCGCTCCGCATCAGCATTCTCATCTTGTTTGTTGAGATGAGATCTTCCTAATTTTTTGTCTGGTCTGGCTTCTAACTGTGGTCCTTTAGAATGCCACCTCCCAAGTAGCTGGGATTATAGGCCTAGGCCGTCATGCCTGGCTTGGGAAATACATTTTACTTGGGTTCTTTGGTTAACTGAGTACACCTTGCAGTTGCAGCGTGTATGGGGTGCACAGCGGGCTGAGCCGTTCTGCCGCTGGAAGCCATGGTGACGAGCGAACGGCCACAAGCCCTTGCCTGCCCTTTCACCTTCTCTCCTTCCCGCCAGCGTCATCCCGTGCGGCCTGTGGGGACCCGTGGAAGGAGAGCGGCGACGTGTCTGACAGCGGCAGCAGCACCACCAGCGGGCACTGGAGCGGGAGCAGCGGCGTCTCCACCCCCTCCCCGCCCCACCCGCAGGCCAGCCCCAAGTACCTGGGGGACGCCTTCGGTTCTCCCCAGACCGATCATGGCTTTGAGACCGACCCTGACCCTTTCCTGCTGGATGAACCAGCTCCACGGAAGAGGAAGGTACGTGACTAAAGGCGTGCAGGGATGGCCTGCCCCGGAGGAGCAGGGAGACCCCAAGTCTCCCCTCAGTTTTCTCTTGCTGTGTCTGTTTCCTTGACGTATTACTGGACTTTGATGTCAGATCCTCTGCCTGGTTAGCTTCCTCCCAGTCGCCGCCACTTTCCCTGCATTCCCACAGAGGCGCCTACATGAGAGGCCGCAGGGCGGCCAGAGCCCCTCCTGACTGCTCTGGCTGCCTCTGAGGGCTTCCTGCCGTTCAGGGCGCCCTTCCTGAGGGCCTTTTGTTGGTTCTGGCTGAGGACGGCCTCAGTGAAGTTCCTCCCCAGTGAGGATGCCGGGCCAGGCAGAGGAGCACACCCGTCTCACGGGCTTCTTTTCCCCTAGAACTCAGTGAAGGTCATGTACAAGTGCCTGTGGCCCAACTGTGGCAAAGTTCTGCGCTCCATTGTCGGCATCAAGCGGCACGTCAAAGCTCTTCACTTGGGGTAGGTGTGGCGCTCGGACCTCCCAGCTGAGGGTGCTCTTCAGGTGGCCCCCATTCCGCGGTTCCCAGGAACAGCTTGCCGAGGTCACCCATGCCGTCCTGACGGCCACAGGAAGCTGCCTTTGCCATGCTGCTCGCTCAGGGGGCCCCGTGGCCAACAAGTGGCGTGGCCAAGCTGCATCTGCTTCTCGCAGGGGCCCGGGCCTCGCTTGCTTGCTGGGCGCTGGGCCAAGGCGCTGACTCTCCATATAGGCCACTAGGGTGGCAGCTGAGGCCTAGCCCTGCCTGGAGGGAAGCAGCATTCACTCCTTGCTAGCAAGAGCCTGATCCTTGTGACACACCTTGGCATCAGGGCTCCTGGGTGTCTTGGGGACCTTCCCTGACTCTCTAAGTGGCCCCAAGCACCCAGATTCTCCCTCGTACCTCAGTTTCCCCCAGCTTTGAGCCGATGACACCTGCTTTCTGCGCAGGGACACCGTGGACTCGGACCAGTTCAAGCGGGAGGAGGATTTCTACTACACGGAGGTGCAGATGAAGGAAGAGTCTGCCGTGGCCGCGCCCGGCCCCTCTGCCCCTGGGACTCCCTCTGCCGAGCCAGTGCCCGCCCCCCGGGTGACCAGCCCCTCGCTTGCTGCTCTTCCACTGCCTCCGCCCAAAGCTTCGTACCCTAGACCCGAACCATCCGGCCTGGAGCCTCCCCTGCCCTCGGGTGCACTCAGCACGTCAGCCCCTGGCTCCTTCTGGCACATTCAGGCTGACCATGCCTATCAGGTATGGGCGGGGCACACGGGGCTCTGCCTGAGGTCTGAGTGGTCACCAGCCGCCAGAGCGCAGGCTCCGGGGTCCCCCCGCTCCCCCGCCCCCAATTGACAACTGAGCTCTGCGGCCAAGTGGCTGATGATTCTACAGGAGAGGAAAAGGAAAGGGGTGTCACCCAGTAAATGTGGGACGCCCCAGAGTTCTGGCGGCAGCCCTGGGGAGTGGTTGTGAGAGATTTCACCATGTTCCTAAGCCACCAGGTGCCTGGGTGGACAGGCACTGTGTCATGGGGTTGGGATTCCCATGGCCCATCTTAGTACTGGGCTCAGGCTTTGAAACCCACTCTGCCAGTGGTGGGCCAGGAAGCTTTTCATCGAGAAACGATTAGCTGCAGTCAGTAAGTCAGGTCCTTATTTCCTAGAGGCTCCAGGAGACACGGAGGACCCAGGAGGGAGGCCGCCATGTGCTGTGTGCTTGGGGAATTGCCAGAGTGACATTGGGACGGTTGTCACTGTCCACAGGGAGCACACGTGCGCCTCCGTGGGCTGCACTGAAAAATCTCCCTGCGCCTGTAGCTCCATTTTATTAGACTCTGGGACAGTTTGCAAGTTAGTCATTAAGCAGCAGCGCTTTCAGAACAATCAGAAAAGCTTACAGAACGAGCTCCTTAGAGCTAGTGACCACTTAGCTAAGATCGCGCGTGGGCCTGCCCTTGGTGAAGAGCTCTCAGCGGGGCGTCTGCGAGCTCCTCGCTGCCCCTGTGCTGTGGGGATGCCCAGCGCATTGCAGCAGCACCGCACGGCCTCACAGGGCTCGGGTCTTCTTTAGCAACTGCCTGAGGCACGTTCTGGGCACGTTCTAGCCCAGCATGGAGCCAGCTCTGAGGGGAGCTCAGGAGAGATCCGAGCCTCGCGTGAAGCCCACAGCTGGAGAGCCGGGTGCAAACGTTCTGTGATAGAGAAGCGTCAGGGCCCCCGGCAGAGCCTCTGCTTCCCGCCCGGCGCCCGGCCGACACCCTGCTGTCTCCACAGGCTCTGCCCTCCCTCCAGATCCCCGTCTCCCCTCATATCTACACCAGCATCAGCTGGGCTGCTGCCCCTGCCACCACCCCTCTCTCACCGGTGAGTGTGCCCTCGTGCAAGCCTGGAGCTCTTGCACACATCCTGGGTTGGGAGCAGGTCTGGGCTCTTGCACATGTCTCTTGGTGGGGGGGGGTGCACAAGCCTGGGGCTCCTGGGTACATCCCCCGCAGGGGAGGGGGGACAAGCCTAGGCTCTTGCACACACCCCTGAGCTGGGAGCTGAGTCTTTGGCTTGTGGCTGGTGCGTTGGCAGACCTCTGACGCCCCAGACTTCATGTGGATTCCGCGTGTCCTCCCTTCCCCTGTGATGGAGCCGGACAGAGCCCCCCAGGAGCCAGGGAAAAGTGCTTCCAGAACGGGTCAGGGTCCAGCAGTGTGCTTGTCCTCTTAAGTTACAGGAGATGCTAGGGTCAGGTCTCTACTGAGCCGTGGATGTCTGTGGGTACTTGTTAGAGGGTCAGTGCCAAGAGGCAAGTAAGGAGTGCATGTGGCGCAGTAGGACAGGAGGTGGGCACGGAGGAAGGCCGGAGCAAGAGGGGGCTGTGTGTGCTGGAGTAGAAACCCCAGGCCCCCGTGGAAGAGCGCCCTGGATCGCTTGGCTCTGCAGTGAGATCACCGGAAGTCATGAGACTCACAAATGGCGGACTCTAGTCTCGTCTTCCAGCCACAGGGGGCGCCACGTGCTGCAAAGCCTCGGTGCCAGGAGGTGGCGGAGAGGGAGAGGCAGCGGGAAGCCCCTCCCTCCTGCACTGGCCGCTCGCTTCCTCACGGTGGCTCCCTGTCCCTCGCTCCGCTTGGTCGTTTGAGGCCTGCTCTCCCTCTGCAGTCTCCCCCACCCAGCCTGGCTGCCCAGGACCCCGTTGACCTCCAGCGTCATGCCAGCCTGGGGCTCCTCCCTGCACGGAGGGGCTGCCGGGAGGCCTCACGCTCCACTCCCCTGCCAGGTCCGGAGCCGGTCGCTCAGCTTCAGCGAGCCTCCCCTGCCTGCGCCTGCGGTCAAGTCGCACCTGGTTGTCACCTCTCCACCCCGGGCCCCGAGCAGCACCAGGTGAGAAGGCCTGCTCTGCCCTGCCGTCGTCTGCGCTTCTGCGCTGCTGGGGTGGACCGGGAGCCCGCCCGCCCGCCCGCGGGGAGCTGTGGAGGGCACCGCAGGGCTGGCCCGTGTCCTGAGCGTCAGGCTGGGCGACCCTCGGCTCCCGCTGGAGCCGCCCTTTCCAGCTTCTTGGTGTGTGCCAGGACCAGGGCTTTTCACTCACTCTCTGCTTGCTTGCTTGGCTGGTGCCACTTGAGCCATGCCCCAAAGCTCCGCTTTTCTGCTGATTAATTAGAGATGGAGTCTCATGGACTTCTGTGTCCAGGCTATTTTTTTTTGGGGGGGGGGGGGTCCAGTTATGGAGCTTGAACTCTGGGCCTGGGCGCTGTCCCTCAGCTCTTCAGCTCAAGGCTAGCGCTCTACCACTTGAGCCACAGCACCACTTCCGGCTTTTTTCTTTTTTGCTTTTGTGGTGCTGAGGAATCGAACCCAGGGCCTCAGGCATGCAAGGCAAGCGCTCTACCACTGAGCCACATTCCCAGCTTCATCCAGGTTGGCTTTGAATCTCTGCTCTCAGTCTCCTGAGTTGCCAGCATGACGGACAGGCATGAGCCGCCGGCCCCGGCCTCAGCCCCCTTCTTGTTTGCTCAGCCTTGTTGCTGTCTGGATTGAACTCGGGCGTGTGACGCTGAACTCTTTGCTCTCTTGGGCAGGAAGGCCCGCGGTGAGGCCAAGAAGTGCCGCAAGGTGTACGGCATCGAGCACCGGGACCAGTGGTGCACGGCCTGCCGCTGGAAGAAGGCGTGCCAGCGCTTCCTGGACTGACGTGCCACGGCCGCGCTCCTGCCCGCCGCCAGCCGGCAGCCCCGCCGCAGACGCCGGAGCAGCCGAGACACGGAGCGCGCGCGCCGCTGCGGTGTAACACTTAAAACACTTTCTCCCCGCCGTGGGAATGTTTTATTTTTTAAAAAGATGCGAAAATATTTTTCTTTCCCTTAAAATAGGAGAGAGCCAAAACTGCCAAGGTATTCTGCAGCGACCAGAGACCAAAGAATTCCTCCCCCTCCTCTTGCTCCCGGCCTCGGGGCACGCGGCTGTCCCCACCGGGAAGGAAAGGTCGGCTCCGTGTGCGTGGCGCAACCCTTTTCTCCAAAAGGGACTGTGAATGAGACGAGTTTCCTTCTCCTGAAAAAAAATGAAATGAAGATGTTTGTGGCAACCCGGAGAGCAGGCCCGTGGGTGTGGCGCGCGGGTCAGCTCCGCGGCTGTGTGTGGGGGCAGGACCCTTGCAAGGTGACAGCTTTGGGATCGGGTACCCCCAATGTCGGGCCACATCCCAGCCGATGCACGGCTGCTTCTCAGAGCCCAGGACGAATAGGTTTTTAAAAGACTGGCCCCAGAGCGAATCTCCTTTTAGAGCGCCGCCGCCGCCACCACGAGGGCCCAGCGTCTGTGCAGACGGCCTTGCCCCGCCCCGGGTTCCTCTCCGCAGTGTGGGGCGCAGTGCTCGCTGTCCTCTGGGGTCCAGGAAGCCTTAGTGGATTATGCTCACTTTTCTTGGGTGGCCCTGAGAGGCTCTGGCTGGCTGCCTTGTCTCGGCCTCGCCTGGGATTGCCCTGAGTTCCTGGCCCAGGCGGGATGAGAGGGTTAAGAGAGGAAATCGAGGTGAGGGCGTGTGTAGACTGCAGTGCTGAGGTGGGTCTAGAGCCCACATGGTTTAGGACAGGCGTGGAGGTCCAGACAAGGCGCTCTTGTTGGGAGGTTAGGGCTGTGCTCACTAAGGTGGCAGGCGTGGTGTAAGCTGAGCCCTGAGGCCGGGCCTGCTGGTGCAGTTTCACGCTTCTCAGCATGCGTGGTCACAGCGGCCCTGGGTCCCGCTAGTGCGTGGCACCTGCTGTCCTGTGTCCCCCACGAGCCACAGGCTCAGGGCGCCCTGCTAAGCCACGTCTCCTGGGGCCGAGCCGCACATCCACCGTGGCTTGTGGGGACTCTTCTTTGTCCCAGGGCAGACACCCGCGCCCCGAGGTTCCTTGGTGGCATCAGTGGGAACAGACATGTCCTCTTCAACCTGAGACACACTGCGTGTTAAAAAAACCCGTAGACATTGCGCCAAGGGAGTGAGGGTGGGAAGGGACGGTGGTCTGGACTGGTGAAGGAGGCGCACGCAGTGTGTTGGTGTTGGGTGTGTTCGGTGGGGGGTTTTTGTAACTCGGAAGCAGATGTTTATGGAATTCTGACTCTTGGTGCAGGCCGGCCAGAGGCCTTCAATGTCGTGGGTCCTTAACAACTGACAGCAGGCCCCTGTCCCTCTGGTGTCCTCACTGTCCACCTTCAGACCTGCCTGCGGTGGGGAAACTGAGGCCCTTCCCTCCCCTTCTCGATCCCAGCTTGTGCTCACTGTGGTTTGGGCCAAGTAGGTAGAGCTGGGGAGGAAGAATTTTCCCCACGCGAGACCGGCTTCTGCCGTGTGCAGGGCAGCTTCTGCCGGGGAGCAGGCTGGGCAGGCACGGGAAGCCCTGCGGTGGTGTGGGTTTTTTTCTTTGCTTTCTCTCGCTTCTGTGCAGCTGCCCTGTCTGCATTTGCTCCCTGGTCCTCCTCATGCTGGTGGTCTCTCCCGCCGTCCACCTGCTCCTCTGTCTTGCGGCTGTCCTTTGGGTTGTGGACACACGTGGCCTGTCCCTAGGGTTGCTCCATTGGTTTCTTCTCAGAGACGCCCGTGGCATCAGGCCCGATTGCTTTCGTCTGTTTCTGTATCTCCCCTTCCTGGCGCCGGTGTGTGGGCCCGGCTGGAGGACGGCGCCGGGGTGTGCTCACAGAGCTCAGCTCGGGAAGCTGTTTTTCTCCAGCGCTCCCTGTGTGCAGAAGTCTTGGAATTGGAACCACGGCCTCAGCCGTGCAGAGTCTGCTGCTCTGAAGAGCACGGCGTCTGAGGAACGGAAGGCTCCCGGCAGAGCCGACTGCGGCGCACACACGGCTGAGATCCACCCACAGGCTCTCAAGTCCGTTTTGTAACTTCGGACTTGAGCCTCGCGGTGACAGCAAGGCGACAGCTCGGCGACTTAGAGGGTGACAGGAACGCGGTGTGGAGGTGGCTTGTTGGGAGAAATTTGTCCTGCTACTTTCTGGTCATCCCAAGTTCTGACTTTACCAGGGAGACAGACAGACAGACAGACACACAGATACAGACACAGACACACATGAGAGAGAGAGACAGAGAATGAGAGAGAGACAGACAGACAGAGCGAGAAGAGGGAGCTAAATCCCGTTTGTGAATGTGTCTTACTGGCGCCTCTCCCTTCCCCCTCCCCCGCTGTCTTCCAAGTATTATTTTTACTGTTAAATTTTTTTTAAAAAATGTGAAATGTAATGTTTTTACAGCAACGATATGAAATATATTTTATAAGGAATAAAATGGTACATTGTCTGACTTCCTGTGCATCTGTCTCTCTTTCACATAAAATGCAATTCCTAGGATCCAAAAATTGTGGTACTTATCTACAATGGAATACTATGCGGCCATTAGGAAGGACATCATAATGGCATTCACAGGAAATGGAGGGAACTAGAAAACAATCATTTTGAGTGAGGTAAGCCAAGAGCAGAGAGACAAGTAGCACATGGTCTCCCTGATATATGGATGTTAACTCCAAAATGCAAGGAGAGCTGACAAAGTAAACAGGACTCGAGAGCCAGGACCTCCTCTCAACTTGTATCATTCCTAAGTGACTCCATGTACTTGACCACATATATGGTATGTATATGCGCACATCTGAGGGAAAGTAGGAAGAAGACAGAATTAGAGGGAAGTGGGAAAATATACAATGTCCCTAAGCAACTCAAGGGCCTCGATGGGAGGGAGGGAATGAAAGGAAAGAGGGAACGGCTAACACTAAGCAAAAGGAAAGAAATGTACATAATCACCTGATGCGTTAGAAATAGTTGTATTGTCAAAGCTCATAGAATTCACAAACTTTATAGGCCACGATAATGACAATTTCCCTTGTGAAGGTTAAAAATAATAAAATTCCTCCTGTCCTTGGTGTTGGACAGGTGGTCACACACCACACTGTAGGCATACTGCACATCATATTCATTTGGTTTTAATAACAGGTTACATTTAAAAAGGAATAATTGGGCAGGGAATGCAGCTCTGTCGCGGAGCATGTGTAGCATGCACAAAGTCCTGAATTGGATCTCCAGCACTACAAAACAACAGCTGGGTGACAATAGCTCATGCTTGTAATCCTAGCTACCGAAGAGGCTGAGATCTGAGGATTGTGGTTCAAAGCCAGCTTGGGCAGGAAAAGTTCTTGGGACCTTTTTTTCTTTGGTTGGTCATGGGGCTTGAACTCGGGGCCTGGGTGCTGTCCCTCAGCTCTTCAGCTCAAGGCGAATGCTCTACCACTTGAGCTACAGCACCATTTCTGGCTTTCTAGTGGTTCGTTGGAGATAGAGCCTCAGACTTTCCCGCCTGAGCTGGCTTTGAACCGTGATTCTCAGATCTCAGCCTCCTGAGTAGCTAGGATTACAGGCATGAGTCGCTGGAGCCGCCTCCTTGGGACCTTTGTCTCCAGTTAACCTCAAAAAGCTAGATGTGGAGGTGTGGCTCAAGTGGCAGAACTCTAGCCTTGAGCAAAAAAGAGAGCTTGGAAACGGTCCAGGCCCTGAGTTCAAGCCACAGCGCCAAAACACATTTAAAAAAACTCCCAACAACAAACCAGTGGGTAACATTTGCCGAGGCCATGGTTTATCTAGAAACAGCGACCCTGTGAGGGACTTACGGTTCACATCTCACAGATGAGGAGAGCAAGGTATGTACCAAAGCCACACACCGGGAGATCTTGCCACCGGGACTGTAATCCAGGTGATAACTATTTTCATTGTGCGTGTTGAATGGCAAAGGAAAACTTATTCTTGGCCCTATTTCTGAATTTATCAGGGAGTGGGCTGGGCACTTAAGGGCTGTTAATAGGCCTATGTCTACTCAGATGTTTTTTGTTTTTTTTTTTTTTACCATAACAAAATACCTGAGGTAAATGAACTAAAGAAAAAGGGTGAACGTGCACAGCACTGTGCAGGCCCTTGGCTGTGTCGCTTCTTGGTGGGTGGCAATGTTGGGAGCATGCGCAAGGGACAGTTCATGCTGTGGGAGCAGCGAGGGAAGCTGGGGTCCCTCAGCCTCCCCCCCCCAGACACACAACCAATGACTTCTCACCAGGCACCCAGTCCCCGCACCCCGGACCCAGCCCTCGGCACAGACGGCAAGGCGTCTTCAAACCCTAGTACTTTCCTTGGAGAATGCATTTTGAGCATGGTCTGTTTTTTTGTTGTTTTTTCATGGGTCATGGGGCTTGAACTTGGGGCTTGGGCACTGTCCCTGTGCTCTTCAGCTCACGGCTAGCACTCTAAGCTTGAGCCACAGTACCACTTCCGTTTTTTCTGAGTGGTTTATTGGAGATTAGAGTCTCATGGACATTCCTGCCCGGGCTGGCTTTGAACTGTGATCCTCAGATCTCACCTCCTATGTAGCTAGGATGACAGGCGTGAGCCACCGGCGCCCAGCCGTGGTCTGTTCTTAAAGATGTCCGTTCTATGCACTAGCCATGTCCTTAGCAGAGCCGGCTTGGTGGGTGGGACTCTGGAAGCAAAGTGATCCTGGCTGCCCTGGCCCCTCAGAAGTGTTTTCTTGAAACTGGAAGCCCTGAACTCTTAAGACTGAGGCACCCAGCCATTCTGGGAAGACCCTGTCCAGTAAGCCAGGCCGGCGCAAGCTTGCGAATGCATTTAAATGTGCCATGCATAAAAAGCAGAATGGGCTTTCCTTGTGGGAAGAACGCGAGGTGCGGTGGTCACGTTGGAGCCCTGATGGACTCCTTCCTGAGCTGGGCCTACTCCCAGGAGGGCTGGGAGACACGTCGGGGCTCAGGAGGCATCTCGGGGGTGGCTTCTGGGGCAGTGAGGGAGGACGCAGGGTTGGGAGAGATGCAGAGACTGGCATGGCACAGGCGGGCCAAACCGCTTTTTTACCCCTTCCTCCTCCTGCCGCTCCCCCCACAAAGAAGTCCCAACTAGAACCTGCTGTCCCACCTGTTGGCTACAGTCCTCCTAAATCAATTAACTAGCTCTCGGCTTGCATCTGGGAGCTCCCTAGCCTTAACATTTGGGGTGGCATTGATTGGACTCCCCAACTTCCTAGCTGGGAAGAGTCAGAAGGAGAAGGAAGTAAAGATACTGAACTTCTTGGCTTTCAGTATATGGATAACTCTTCTGTCTCTGTCTCAGTCTCTGTCTCTGTCTGTCTGTCTGTCTCTGTCTCTCTGTGCTATGAGTTGCAAGTCTTCAGTTTCACAGCTCCCCTGTACCTACCAGGGTTTCCTAGCTCCCTCACAGCACCTTGCCACCCTCTGGCCACCTCCTGCTGACTTCCTAGAATCCCTAGTTTGAACATCCCCTCCAAGTTGGGTATGGTGGCACACACCTGTAGCCCTAGCACTCAGAAAGTTCACACAGAAGGATTGTGAGTTCAAGACCCACCTTGGGTTACAAATGGGGACCCTGTTTTGAGAAGAAAAAAAACAAGTTCCCTCTGAAACTCACGTTGAAATTTAACTGCTAATCCAACTTTTGGGAAGTGAGGTCTTTAAGGGGTGACTAGGTCCCGGGGCTGTGCCCACCTGAGTTGAATTGGTTAGCTAAGAGCAGGCTCCTGATAACAGGCTAGGTCAGGCTCCACCCTCCCTCTGGCCTGTCCTGCCCATGCAGCAAGAAGGCCATCAGCAGAGGCGGCCCCTTGAGCTTGCTTCGCCTGAACTGTAAGCCCAATGCATTGACTATTCTTAATTTACACACACCATCCATGCTCTTGCTCGATGTCAGCTCTATGTCAACCAACTGTAGACGGAAAATATTGTGAAGAATTACATCTGTACCCAACATTGTATAGACTATTTCCTTGGTCATCTGTGGAGCTTGAACTCAGGGCCTGGGCACTATCCCTGAGCTCTTCTTGCTCAAGGCGAATGCTCTACCACTTTGAGCCACAGTGCCACTTCTGGTTTTCTGGTGGTTAATTGGAGAGAGGAGCTTCAAAGCCTGCCTGGGCTGGCTTTGAACCTCGATCCTCAGATCTCAGCCTCCTGAGTAGCTAGAATTATAGGCATGAGCCATCAGCTCCTGGTTCAGACTAGTCTCTAAACCACACAGAATAACAATGATTTGGGTTTTTTTGGTTTTTTTTTTTGGGTCCGGTTGTAGGGCCTAAACTCAGGGCCTGGGCACTGTCCCTCAGCTCTTCAGCTCAAGGCTAGCGCTCTACCACTTGAGCCACAGCGCCACTTCCGGCTTTTTTCTTTTTGCTTATGTGGTGCTGAGGAATCGAACCCAGGGCCTCAGGCATGCAAGGCAAGCGCTCTACCACTGAGCCACCTTCCCAGCCCCACAATGATTTGTATTAACTTTTGTAAGTACACAGGAGGCCGTGTGCAATTTATTTGTTTTTTTTTTGTTTTGTTTTGTTTTTTTTGGTCTGGTCGTGGGGCCTGAACTCTGGGCCTGGGCACTGTCCCTCAGCTCTTCAGCTCAAGGCTAGTGCCTTGAGCCACAGTGCTACTTCCAGCTTTTTTTTTTTTTCTGCTTATGTGGTGCTGAGGAATCGAACCCAGGTCCTCATGCATGTAAGGCAAGCGCTCTACCACTGAGCCACCTTCCCAGCCCCTGTGTGCAATTTATATACAAATAGACCATTTCACATAAGCAACTTAAGCATCCTCAGAGTTTGGAATCCTTTGTGGACATCAAGAGATAGCTGTGTGCTGTTGTTACAGCAGCAGAAAATGGACAAAGACACTCCAGTTTTGCAGACCTTTAGCTTGTCAATGACTGTATTTGGATTTTTCCCCTGTTTCCTGGCTGAGCTTTCAACAGTCACCCACATTCATGTGCTTCGACTTAAGTCGGGGTAGTTAGTTGGCAGGTTTACTTTGGCTCCACCCTTCCCTTCCAATCTAGTGGTTCCCAAACCAAGAGGATTTGCAACCACCTTGAACTTGTCAAGAGCGCAATTTTCTGAGAACTGCCCCCCCCCCCCCGTGTGTTCACACATGGTGGCCACAGGTGGTATATTCACACACGGTGGCATGGTGCCCTGGGATGTGCCAGCTCCCATATCTTGCCCCGCCTGGCTTATCGGATGCAGAGAGGCGGCTCTGATAACGTGCGTGTGCCCGGTCTGTGCAACGAAGGAGTTCATTAACCGTTTGCTCAGTAGAAGTTTAATGGACAGATAGCTGTTTCAAACACTCAGTCAAAAAGAACAGCTCTTTTACAAACAAGTTGTGGCAGTGATGGGTCTCGAACCCCAGGCTTGGTTTTGGATTCCTTTCACCCAGCTCTAGAAGAGGGGGGTGGAGGGCGAGGAGGCAGGATGGGGCCATTAGAATGTCAGCAGGGGAAATTACAAAAATACACTCTGATGTAGCGACGAGGGTGGGAACATGCCATGGGGGGGGGGGGGGCGCGCGGATGGAGTGGAGCTGCAGGCGGTGCTCAGTGCCGTGGGGGAGGAGGGATCCTGACCAGTCGGCAGGTTTGGGACCGGACACATGCTCTTTTGGGGATCACCTGGATGCCTGGGGAGACACAAAGGATTCAAATGGCAAACCAGATGCTTCTTCTGACCCTCCCATTTGCCCAGGGGACGCGAAGCCATCCAAAGGAGGCCAGGGGTTAAGCTCTGCAGTTGCCACAAGGGCTTCTGACCATCTCTGCACCCATCTGCTCCCTTACCCTACCCGAGGCTCCCGCAGGCCCCACTCAGTGCATGGAAGAGAGCTGCCCGAACCCTGTGCCCCCTCCAGTACACACAATCCAAAACGGGGCTTTGCTGGTGTTCCTTGTGTGATGAGCGCATGCGCCTTCTAAGGCTCATGCCATCCATACCTGGCCGAGTCCCAGTCTGGGCAGGAAAAATGGAAGAGGACGGACCACAGCGTAGGGTCAGGGAAGGGAAGGATCTTCTGAACCACCTTGCTGTTCCTGAATTATCTTTTCTGTCTCTCTTCTTTCCCTCCCTCTCTCCCTCCTTCCCTCTCTCCTCCTTTCCTTTCCTTTTCCTTCCCTTCCCCTTCCTTCCTTCCTTCCTTCTTTTTTTGTGTGTTCTGGTGCTGTCCCTTAGTTTTTTGTTTTTTTAACTCAAGGCTGGTACTCTGCCACTTGAGCCATAGCTCCATTTCCAGATTTTTGGGTGGTTAATTGGCTATAAGAATCCCATGAACTTTCCTATCTGGGCTGGCTTCAAACCAAGATCCTCAGATCTCAGCCTCCTGAGTAGCTAGGATTACAGGCAGGAGCAGCCAGCACCGGGCCATTCCCACAATTCTGTCCAGGGTAGGACTATATCCAGTGCCCTTTTCCTAAGACATCATTATACTTTCAAAGAGGTACTGACCCCATTCCATTCATGGGTGGTTCTACTCCCTTCCAGCCTGCTGAATAGAGACTGATTTTGGATGTCTCAGAAATCATGGACTGCTTTGGCAATAGGAGTTGGCTGGCTGGAAGAATCTTTATCATGTGTAGGGCAGGTTGGGTTGTGTGTCTGAATAAGTAAAACACGGGGCTTCAGCGGCCTCATTAATGTGTCCACACCGGAACTCAACAGTGTAGAAACAGATGGTCATACAGGAGAAAAGAGAGCCATCGGTAACACCCAAAGAGCAGGTTAATGTTTCCAGAGTTTCTATCACCAACTTTCATCTTGAGCAATGCAGCTGACAGAAGCTAGTTTACCAGCTCTGTTCAGTACCTCTCAGTGGGAAGTATAATAGAGAATCAGAAAAAGCAATTGTCTGCTCCAATAGTTTTCCCAACTAAATTGATTTGTGTTAATGGGAGTGACCTTGAACTGTCTTTAGGTAAAGAGTACTGTGGTTTAGAATTACACGTGGTCTTTCGTGTTCCTCAAGACCCACTATTGAGAAAAATGTCTTTAAGCTTTAGCGGAGTGTAATCCACACTGCTTCTGAAAGATTTACTGTTAGGACTGTGCCAGTGTGGCTGGGAATGGAGCAGAAAGGATCCAAGAGTATGACATTAGACCCAGCGCAGTTCACCCGGGACCTCTACAGGTTAGTCATTCTCAAATAAACATAACTGCCTTCTCCCTACAACTTAATACAGGTTGCCATTTTTGGCAATGAGCTTGCTGCACATAAGCTGGCCAGCTTCCTTCCAAGGTCCTATGTAGCTGCCTCCATGCCCAGATGCGGGCACTGAAGATGAACATTCAAATGAGTATCTCTGAGGGAGGACTATTCATGACATGGTTTCTTTTGGCTTTCAGGAAGGGAAATAAGAGAACACAGGGAGACATTTTTCTTTTATACCCCTCAATCACAATCGCCCTCCCTACTTGGGTAATTCTTTGGGATGATTTTGTCATACAGACCAGGTTTTTTTTTTTTAATCCTTTCTGCCCCCATTCGACAAGGTTTCCAGACTGCTTCAAGAGATGTGTGGAATTCTGCCACAATCATATTCCTATATGAAAAATTAGGCACATAGATATAATGGTTAAGATTTTCTAAAATCTACTTTGCTAGCTGCCAATGCTATCTAAAGTCTTGTTGGTTGGTAAGCTAAGAAAAATTGAGTTTGGAGTGCTTGGGCTTTGGAGGATTGGGCCTTGGCTGTATGTTAGCTGGTCTTGTATAAGTTTGCCTGTAGTGGTAGAAACAGGGGAAAAGAAAAAGAGAGCAAGAAAGAGGGATAAAGACAAGACAAAAATGGTACCCTGGAAAGAAACAACAGTCAAGGAAAGAAGATGGGTTGCACAGTTCGCATTCTAAGAGCTACTGAGTCACGTCAGCAAGTTCTTAAGACTCAGCTTGGTGGTTGCGCCATTGATCACACTGGCAAGATGGTGGGATGGACAGATTACCGGTGGAAGAAAGAAAAGCAGAAAGCAAAACTCCTGGTCTTATGAAGCCCTCCTCGGCTGGCAGAAATGGGAAAGTTGAATGATTTGGAGCTCAGTCACTTTGAAACACAGGGGAAGCAAGAGGTAGGTAAGCCATCTCTGAAGGTGAGACAAGTCATAGTCGCAATAATCTCCTCTCTGCAGATGGCTAAGGGTAGGCCCAGCTATTGGCTTTTTGAGATAAAGTCTCCCAGGAAAGGTGAGCTGAATGGTTGCTATGGCAACTGGCTGGGAGAATTGGTCCACTTAACTGTCCCCATAGTAACTAAGCTCCTGGAGGCTCTAGAGGGATTAGTTATCTTAACATACTACTATTATCCCCATGGTGACCAATCTCTAAATGGGAGTGGTCAGCCTCAAGGAGCAATCATAGGAAAATCTTTGCTACCTAGGGAAAGGGTGGGCAGGAAGCAGGCAGGTGGATTTCCCTCACCAGCATCACTGCAGCTGGGGTCTTTGCTAGACATACATACATATACATCACATACATATACATACACATATGTATACATAAACATATATATGGATATATATATATGAGGGAGAGAGAGAGACCTAGAGAGAGAGGGAGGGACTCTGTGTGTGCATGTGTGCATGTGTGTGTCCGCACACATGTGCATGTGTGCTAATGTGTTTCCAAGCCTGAAATAAAGCCTAAACCATTGGGTATATGAGCTCATTGGTGCCCAACTCACTCATGGGTTGCAGTGGCCGGTGCAGCTGGGAGGGGCTCCCCTTCCGGCTACACATTACCATTCTGGTGCAGGGTGCGCCGACGCTGGCTCGACTGCAGACTCAGGACCAGGTACTGCCTCATAAACTCACTGAACCGCTTCTGGTTGGCCAACTTCCGGGCTGATTTCCGAGCCCCGGTGAAACCCCCAAACCTCTTCTGTAGCTGCTTCTGTTCCACCTCGCCACCCTCCTCCGTGCCAGGCTCTGTCTCTTCCCGTGCTTGGAACAGGCTCCTGACACGGGGCATTCGCTTCAGGTGCTGCAGGTCCGAGGCTCTGCGCTGGTGAAGAGCGGCCGCCACGTGCTCTGGGTCAGCAGGGCCCAGCTGCCAGGAGCCGCTGGCCATGACCTTGGTGCATGGAGTCCACAGAGGGCTGGGGAAGACCTTCTCCTCACACTCCAGGATGCATGCCTGCAAGGACACAGGTGGGAACAGGGAGGGGCTTCTGTTAGGCCAAGCCTGGGAGACGAATTTGTCCCTCAAGGCTTACAGAGAGTTTCAGGTTCATCATCTTTCAGAGATGGAAAGAGAAAGAGCCACGTGGGCCAGTTCCATTCTTCTAACAAAGAAGCCAGGGTTCAGACATGATCTTTAACCAGGGACAGAGTCTATTAACAGAATGAAGGCACCCCAAACTACAGCCTGCTGCATCCTTAGCCAGGGTTTTGTAGCATAGCTCATGAATGACACCCAGAAAGAAGCAGTTTATTCCATTCTCACACCAGGCATTGGGAAGATCAGATTGCTTAAAGAGATTGGGGGGCCGGGGGCTGGGAAGGTGGCTCAGTGGTAGAGCGCTTGCCTTGCATGCCTGGTCCTGGGTTCGATTCCTCAGCACCACATAAGCAAAAAGAAAAAAACCGGAAGTGGCACTGTGGCTCAAGTGGTAGAGCGCTAACCTTGAGCTGAAGAACTGAGGGACAGCACCCAGGCCCAGAGTTCAGGCCCTACGACCGGACCCTTCCCCCCCAAAAAAGAGATTAGGGGGTAGGAAACTGTGTAGCTAAGTCTGTCTCTGTATTATTATTATTATTTTGGGGGGGGGGTTGGTCGTGGGGCCTGAACTCTGGGCCTGGGCGCTGTCCCTCAGCTCTTCAGCTCAAGGCTAGCGCTCTACTACTTGAGCCACAGCGCCACTTCCAGCTTTTTTCTTTTTGCTTATATGGTGCTGGAGAATCGAATCCAGGGCCTCATGCATGCAAGGCAAGTACTCTACCACTGAGCCACCTTCCCAGCCCCATGTTATTGTTATTATTATGTCATGGGGCTTGAACTCAGGGCCTACTTGCTGTCCCTGAGCAATTTTTCTCTTTTTGCTCAAGGCTAGCGCTCTACCACATTGAGCCACAGCTCCACTTCCAGTTTTCTGGTGGTTAACTGGAGATAAGAATCTCACAGACTTTCCTGCTTTAAACCTGGAGCCTCAAATCTCAGCCACCTGAGTAGCTAGGATTATAGGCCTGAGCCACCAGCGCTTGGTTCGCCCATGTATTTTTAGGCTCACTGGGTAAACATCAACCCTGGCAGTGTTATGACTATGATTATTTTATTCTACACACACTGGCCATCACTCTTGGAGTGAATCTTCTGGAATGTAGGCAGGCTGGACAGGTGGGGCTAACCCTGAAATCCACCCACCGGTGCGATCCACACACTCCTCCAGAAACACCTGTGACTGCTCTTGATTCCCAGGTAGCACAGCCTCTCAGGGAGGACACAGCCCGACCACGCCGTCTCTCTATTCCTGCCCTCCGTGACTCGCTCCTACCTTCCTGTCTCTGGTAGGGTCTCCTGGGAGCTTCTGCCACCAGCTTTTTTTTCTGTTGACTGTTTTGGCTTTACTCCCAACTCTCCTGCCTGTATTTCTGGCCTTGGTCAGATGGAAAGCCGCTGCACTGACCTTGCCGTCGCGAACTGGCAGGCAGTAGCAGAGCTGCTGTCAAGTTGTAGCTCTTTCTTTCCTGGATGCCAGGGCCCCTCGTGGGGTGCAGGCTGCCCAGTGCCCACCATGTGTACCCCGTCCCATTCCATTCTAGCAGAACACCTTTGCAGCACGGATATCTCACAACCTCTCCCTGAAGCCAGAGGTGGCCAGAGACAGATCGACACAATCCAGGGACCCTCCCCCCCCAAAAAAAGTAGGGTCTGGCTCAGCGGGAAAGAACATTCTTTCTTCCTTCTCCCTCTCCTTCCTCCTGCCTTTCGTGTGGAGTGGGGCATTTTGGCGGATGCTCTGTTGTGGCCACTGTGACATCCTCAGGCCACTGCGGGGAGGAGCCAGTGCTGTCAGAGCAGGACAGAGGTTCCCAAGCCGCCATGTTACCCTGACTCACCTCTCACCAGGAATGGAATCTCTGTCTTGTTTAAGCTGTGGCTGCTGTTTTAGGTCTTTGTGAACAGCACACGAATTGCATGTGGATGGGAAGGACTGGTTTTCAGCTGGTTTTCTCTCTCCTAAAGGCGCCCTCTTCCTCAGCGGACTGAGCTTTAAAACCTGGGGTGCATCTCGCTCTCCTTTCTGACTCCCCCAGGCCTGCCTCTCCCTCCCCTCCACATAGCCACCGACAAGTGCCTCTTAGCAGCTCTCCAGCTCTCTTTGCCACTCAAGCCCATTGCAGGCAGAGTTCTCCTAAACAATAACTCCACTCACATCCTTATGTTGCCCTTGACACTTTTGTCCTAGCTGTAAAGTAGTTCTAGATTCTTGAGCAGGGCCTTCAAATCTCCCCACTGGCGGCTGTAGTGTACTTTGTATGGCTTGTGTCTGCTTTCCCCCACGCACGCGAAGCTCCCGACACCTCCGTGCCTTTGCCGCTCTGTCCCTGCAGGGAAGGACCCCCTTCCACTCGGCCACGCCCCAGTGCTTCTCTCTGCTCTTCCACACCTTCTTTTGGATTCCTGGCAAGCACGCTTTCCTCCTGCCCCTGCATCGTGCTCTGGTGGACAGTTAATGTTTCATTAAAAAAAATTGCAATATTTTTAAGTCAAAGTTAGGGTTCTTCTGGTAAGTAGCAGACATTCTATTAAAGTCTATTAACCAATGGATCTTCTAGAATATGGAGACATTCTGGTTGTCATATTGTGTGTGTCTGCTGATGCCCCTAGGCCAGAGGAGACCAGTGAACACAAAAAAACCGTGAAGGGCACAGAATGGTTCCCAGCCACACCCGATGGCCCAGCGCTGGATGTTCAGGGTGGTGAATTTGAGAAACCCCAGTCTCCAGGAGTCAGCAGGAATGCAGGAAGGTGTGGATAGCCCCAAGATTGCATAGCATGGGGATGGGGGCACACTCGGTCCAGTTGTTACACAACAGGAGTCTCGGAGGCTAGTTAAAGTGTTCTGCTCCTTTGGTGTATAGAGACAGGTGGGAGTTAAAGTGTAGCGGTGACTGGATTTTCTGTGAGCTTTTTGCATTGGGAAGTCCAGAGGGTAATTGCATTTTGTGTCAATCAGAGGCAATGAAATTTTAGGATGGCGCCAGATGCCACAGTCCTTCCACAGACCCGACACACGGTTAGATAAATTAGAGACTGACCAAATCATCTCAACTCTTGATTTAGGAGAAGGTTTAGGGAAAACATGCGGCATCTGAATTCACAACAGCATTTGCTAACACCAGATGGGTGTATGAGTTAATGGCTAACCCTCTGCGCAGGGCCCTCTCCAGCCTCTTTCCAGAGATGGGTTAATGGTCTATTAAGTGAACTGGACACATTTTCCAGCTTTATGAAATCAGTTTGCAAGAGCATCTGGAGTCCCAGACTGGAGCCAAATTGGTCTGCAAAGTTAGCCTTGTAAGGAAATGGAGCAAAGGGCCATTTGGATGTCTGGATCAAAGATTAGGACGGAGGCCGGCAGTGTAGCACAGCAGAAGAGCACTTGCCTATCGTGTCTTAATGTGTGAGGCCATGGTTCACCCTAGCACTCGAAACCAAGATCAGTGTGCAAAATGAGGAGCAGAAGCCGGGCACTGGTGGCTCATGCCTGGAATCCTAGCTGTTCAGGAGGCTGAGATCTGAGGAGAGAGGTTCAAAGCCAGCCAGGGCACAAACATGTGTGAGACTCTTATCTCCAATTAGCTACCAGAAAATCAGAAGAGGAGCTGTGGCGCAGAGCAGTAGAGGACTACAAAATCCCAGGGACAGAGCCCAGCCCTGAGTTCACGCCCTGCAACCAGTGACACCCCCCCCTCCTGCCTCAAAAAATGGGGAACAGACACCTGAGCCCTTTGAAGGGAAAAGAAAAAGGCTTCTGGGATGGTTTAGTTCCTGACAATATTGCTGCTAAATGCTGTTTGGAGGCTGTGTGCTCTAGGAGGTCCTGCTAAAATGTTGAAGGATGAACTGCACAGAAGAAAAGACAAGAAGCTTCCATTGCAAGTGGAAGGTCTTCTGTCAAGAGTTTTCATTGAATTGGCACAGCAAGCATGCACAGGGAGCTTCTCTTATAATATAGCTTCAGGAACTTTTCAGTCTATTTCCCCAGACTGCTTCTTGAGGGTTAGTTGCCTAAATCTTGGTCTCCAAAACAATGTAGTTCTTTTACTTGACCCAATGGAGTCGCTGCCATTCACAACTAAGTGAAAGGCTAGGATGTTTCAGTGTTTCGATGGGCTAGTCACTTACTAGCAGCCAAAGCTAACAACAACAAGAACAAACCCAGTCATCCTTGGGCCATCTACCAGGAATAGAACTAGAAAAGAATTCTTGATGAAGCCAAGAGTCCTGAGGCTCCTGGGAACAGCATAGGATTATGTAACGCGATGGCTGAAATATGAACCTCTCCTGTCCATCATTCGCATTATGGGCATATTCAAAGGTTACCAGATTGGGAAAAGAGACAGGGTTGTCTACATACTTGGCATTTTATCCAATTTAAAAATAGGTTAAAGGTGAACACAAACTACAAACAACTAAGCAGGAAATCAGTCTGGGGTTCGGGGTAGCAGGCACTGTGAAGCATTTATCTCTGATTGTGAGGCTTTTATGAGTTTATTCCCACGTTTTTTTGGGGGTGGGTGGGTACACAAACATGGGCTAACATAGGAGACCCACAAACTGGGGACAAAAACCAAGAGGGGACTGGTATCCTGAAAGACGGAGTAATGGGAAGGGTAGGTGCTCAGAGGAAAACATGGTGGATGAGAAAGAGGGACAGATGGGGTGCTGCACACCTGAACCCTGAGCTACTTGTGGAGTGGCGATGGGAGGACTGGGGTCCCAGGTGGGCAAAAGCATGAGACCTCCCCTAAAACCAACAAAAGCAAAGGACCTGGGGTGCGGCGCGTCTGCCGGGGCTGAGGCTGGTCATCTTCTCCGGAGCTGAGCTGCTAAGGTGTTTAGTCCAGCAAGAACACTGAGCCTTTCATGGCCTGCACTGCAGGAGCAACTACTTTGGTTGTTCTGAAAGGTTGGGGGGGGGGGGTTGAAATGTGATGTCTTGAAAGCAGTTTAATTATCTTCAAAGGAAAAAAAATTAATTGAATTATACTGAATTCCACGGGAGGGGAATGATTTTGTAGACTGAAATCGAAGGAGGTGAGAAAGCGGGTCCCTTAATGAGTAATAATTTGTACCCCCCCCCCACCCATTGAAAAATTTTAAGATAATAAGAGGGCACTCCAGATACCCGAATGTTTACTGTGGAATCATCTGGAAGATAAAAATTGGAGGGCAACATATGTGCTCAGCAGGCAGGTAATGTTAGAATAAGTTATGCTGTGTTCCCAGAAGGAAATAACTTCAGAAAATGAGTAAGGACATGGAGATTCTGATCTTGGTTGGTACACTATGGGAAGTAAAAGCTAGGGGGATTCTTTCTCTGATTGCCAGGACTAACGGTGATTTTAATGTTCTTTTAAGACTGTGTCTCAGGCTTTATCAAATTCTCTGAAAAAGAGAATGCATTCTTTTAACACTGGGAGTAGGTGAGCAGCCTGGGCGCGTGGTCATGTGGACATGTGGTCATGTGGTCACATGGGTAGACACAAGGGGCCTAATAGAGAAGATGCAGCTCAAGTCTCCAGCAGTCTCCTGGTCTGGTGACACTGGACAGAACCCACCAGCTCTGGGAGCGGCCAGAGTTTCACACCCGGGTCTGCTCAGGAGAGGGGAGGGGAGGGGGACTGGGAGGAGGGTGGTCCCGGGGCCTCTTGGACCCACCTCCAGGTTGAAGCTGTCCAGGGCCGGGCGGAGCTTCTCCCGGCAGGTGACACAGTCTTTGGGGCAGCTGCTGAACACACTGGAGACCAGGCTGAGCAGCAGGAGGTCACAGAGCGGGATTTTCATGGTGCAGGAACAGGAAGCAAGAGGCTGGAACACATAGGACAGGTGGCAATTAATGGGAGCTGGTCAGGGTGGAGACCCTCACTGAGGGGAGGCCAGGAACTCATTCCTCAGTGGGGACAGTGCCAGGGACTTGATATTCACTTTCCAGGAGGGAATAGCCAAGGGTGTCAGTGCCCTGGCCTTGCCATGGAGGTCCAACCTGTGTTCATGCGTGGGCAAGGTAGGGTCTGGCCTGGGTGCCCCATGATTGCTGTCACCTGGTGGCCTTGCTGCCGCCCCCAGAGCGGGTGTGGCACGCTGGGGATGGCTTTATTGTAAGGTAGAGGTGTTACTTTGCAGCTGACTGTATGTGACTTGAAGTCAACCTTTCTAAGCCTCTGTTTCCATTGCCACAAAAGGCAAATAGTGACACCTGGTTTGTCGCCTGTCACTCTCCGCATGACAACCGCTTGCTGAGAGTGGAGCGGCGCCAGAGGAGGCAGCTCTGAGCGCCCCCTAGAGGGACTGAGCTGTACTCTCAGATGATGGGAGGCCTCCGGTGAACAGATAAGGAACACAAACAAGAATCTAACTCCAAGGCAATTGTTTTTGTCTCTCTTCCAAGGTCCAGTGCCTCCGTTGGGATTTAGTGTCTTATTCTGTAAGAGCCTCCTGGTTAGTTCACCTAGTTAGTTCATCTGGCGTCCCTCTAAGTCACCTCTGAATCTGATTATGTAACTTCATGCTTAAAATAATTCTGTAACGCCCAGGCTGTCAGGAGGAATTCCAAGGGCTGGGCTGGGCTCTGGATCCTGCCCCATCTCCTGTCACTCACCTTGCCATCACCACCAGCCCCAGGGAATAAAGCTCCAGTGACAGCAGGCTTCTAATGTCTTAGGGCTGGCCTGGCTGCTCCCTGCCCAGAGTACCTTTCTCCAGCTTACAGCTCATACCACCTCTGGAGTGCTCCCCTTTGGAAAGACATCTCCAGCCCTGGCCTGAGCTAGATTAGTCTCTGTTGCTGTGATATCTTGAAGTGGCATAGCTCAGTAGGAAGGGCTCAAGTTTCAGGAGTCTCCTCTGTGTCTGTGTCTCTGTGTCTGTGTCTGTGTCTCTGTGTCTGTGTCTGTGTCTCTGTGTCTGTGTCTGTCTGTCTGTCTGTCTCTCACACACACACACACCAGGCCCACACCACAGAGTTGTGTAATACACATTTTCTTCTCTCCTCAGTTCTAGGGACTTGTGGCTCTGGCTCTTGCTAGCTGTATTCCAGCCCTCAGACCCCACCTATAGCAATGGGAGAACCCCGGTGCCTGCCTCATCTGACCATACTAGATTCATGTTTTCAAGCAGTTAAAAGAGCTCCTGACACCCCGCCAAGTGGTTTATAAAAGACAAAGCCAGCACAGGGCGCTGATCCTGTGACAGTCATTTCTCAGGGAATTTAGCGCTGGGTACTACAGCCTTGTACTTACATGTCTGTTTCTCCCACCATGACGTCCTAGAGGGCAGAAATCCTGTCCCACCTTCTCTATTTTTAGCATCAGTGCTGGGAGGGAGGAGGGGGGCAGCACTCAGGTCAGAAATGCTCAATGGCAGTGACAAATGACAATAGTAGGTGTCAGAGCTCCTTTTCCTTCTTCTCAGTGAATAGGGGTTTTAAGGAGTATCTGAGAATGGCCTAATCAGGGGTCCAATGCACTCCCAGCTCAAAGTACTTGTCAGGGCACTGTCCAGCTTGAGCAAGGAGAAGTCGGAGATAGTTTCATTCCAGAGCAAGGCAAGATGCCATCCTAAGACTGACTACAAAGAATGGCAAGGTGGCATGGCTGGCATGGTGTTTGATGGTATGTCTGGGTGGGTTATATAGGAGTTTGCAACTGTTTTCTTCCATGTGAATGTTATAACTCAAGTTCCAGATAGCCACTAAATAAGACAAGGTTCTAGGACATAACCCAGTCTTAAATCAAGGCCTGCCTGAATATTTTTTAGCTTGAGAATCGCCTTTATATTTCCCGTCCTGCTTAGTTTCCATCTTCCTATTCAGATATGTTTGTAGAGTCTCTCTAGCATGGCCTTCTACAGCCACATGATGGCAGTGGTTGTATGTTGTCAAGAAAGGGACCCAGGGAGGAAAGGACCTGTTTCAAGACTAATACACAGCATGCCCAGAAGCTGAGCTGCTAAGTTGTGACAGATGTTAATGAACTGCTCTCCTGCTGAGGGTTTTCATTAACTTCATTAACAGGCAACGTACACATTCAGGAACTCGTGCTGGCTATGGCAAATGCCGGGTAAATGGGATTTAAGGGTGAGAGGAAGAAAGGAGATGAGATCTTGGGACAATCAGCAGGTGTGCCGTCTGATGGCCCAGGCCCCCTGTGAGGCGTGAGGTTGGTTTGGTTTGGCTTTTGGTAAGAGATCTATTCCAAGGTAGCCAGGCCCTCCCTCCTGCTCCGGCTTAGCCCCCATCTCCTCTAGTCTCATGTTTTCTCCTTCTCCTTCTCTTCCCTCTTTTTTTCCATGTTAACCTCCCTTAAGAACACATTTGTATTATCTTTAAGTCATTTTACAAAAGAGTTGCCATTCTACAAAGCAGCTTACAAACACAGTGCCTCTGGATCGATGTCGCTCCTGTCATCACTCGCACCCATTTCTTTCCTGTTTTTAAGACAAAACCCAGGCTGGCCTTGAACTCCAGATCCTCCAGCCTTAGCATCCCAAGTTCTGATCACACACCTGCACCATGGCACCTGGCTCCACCTCAAACTCAAGTGCAGCACCACCTGCTGCTCAGAAACCACCCTTCATGTCAGGCATCCTCCAGCGCAAAGAACCACAAGATGGAAATGGCAACAGGGCCTGTCTCACAGGTTGTTGGCAGTTTGTAAATGGGACTAAGATAGGGAAAGCTCATCTAGGTGGAAATACCATTACAAAGGGGACATTCTTAACCTTTTGTATCCCACGCTTCGTAGTCTAATTGTGTGCTACGCTAAATCACAGTTTGAAAACATAACTCAGGACCTCGTACTTGCTAAGCTGGCATTCTACTACTTGAGGTATACTTCTGTCCCCTTTTGATCTGGCTATTTTTGAGACAGTGTTTTGCCTCTTAGCTGAACTTCCCTGGACCACAATCCACTTTTTCATTCTTCTTGCTGTAGCTATGATGACAGGCATGTACCATCATGTCCAGTTGTTCATTAAGATGGGATTTCCAGAACCTTTTGCCAGCCTGTCCTTTTGAACTATCATCCTGATCTGCTCTCCTGAGTAGCTAGGGTTACAGGTTTGAGCCACTGCACCTTGCAGAGGTCTTTAATTTTTAAGAAGTCAGCACTACAACCATGTACTGGTCTGAAAATCTGCATGTATACTGACGTCAGTGAATGTGTCTGAATAATAGGCAAATTCACAGGTTGCATTTGTGTTTATACAACACAACGGTGGGACTTTGGACAAGTGATTTTCCCGTCCGAGGGCCTCAGTCTTCTCAATTGCAGAAATGGGATGATGGCAGATTTTCTCCTGTGACTCAGCAGTACTAGCTATCAGTAACTATCTGAGTATGTCTGCGTCTTCCCTGGTTTGTGTTGCATCTATGAGCCTGATACTATCATCAGACTATTTTTGTGTTGGATAAAGAAATGCTTAATTACCTTTCATTTAGGTAATGACACCTTATAAATTGGATTGTGTCTTACTGTTTACAAAGATAATGTGGTACCATGATTTAGTCTTAATTTACTTCCACGTACTCTTGCCTCCAAGGGCAATATAATTAGTTGCTTTTCTGTTGGAGGATTGGATGTGCAGCCTCAACAGAAGCTAGATGCTAACTGACTTTGTTTTTTACGAACTGTGAGAGGCTTTGATTTTGGTGGGTCTAGGGGAGAAGAGAGCCTTTCTCTCTTAGAAGAAGACACGTGGTTCCTTGCTTTCCACCCACTACTGTATATAGAATATTGTTCTTTGAAGCTAGCATGGCGGCTCAAGCCTGCCATCCTAGCATCTGGGATGTGGAGAGGGAAGACCCCAGTTCAAGGCTGGCCTAAGTGTAAAAGTACATGAGACTCCATTTCACTCGACGGCTGGCTGTTTGTCCAGGGGCAGGGAAGCACCACAGCTGAGTACAGCAGCATGCGTCTGTCATCCCAGTGACACGCGGAAGCAGAATTAGGGGGATCAAAGCCCAGGCTGGCCTGGGCATAAAACAAGAAAGACCCTATCCTAGAAAATAGCCAAGGCAAAAAAGGGGCTGAAGGCTTGGCTCACGTGGTAGATTGACTGCCTAGCAAGCATGAAGCCTTGAGTGCAGTCCTCAGTACTGAAAAAAAAAAGCCTATTGTTCTTTGCAGGTTACAGATGAATTTTATATTTATAAACAATCCTGGAATCGAGGTTAGTTTACCCTGCCTTAGAGTGGTAAACATGAATTCCTAGAGGTTAAGCAACTCGCCTAAGATTCTATAGTTAGTAACTAGTAGAGCCTGGATTTGAACTCATGTCTTGACTCCCAAATCTTGTATCCTGGGTACCTATAAATGCCACTCATGGTTTCCAATCTGAGCAGAGTGGCAGATTCTGATGGTGTCCCCTTGTGTGTCAGTCAGGGGTTGATGGAGACTCGGGTGCTAGGGTTTGGACAGTGGAGGAGGCTGAGGCTTGCGGAGGAGGTGACACAAAGGGTCCGAGCTGGAGCTCAGAGCCTTCTGACCCCTGAGCTCCTGTGCCCACGGAATCTCGTGACAACCTGTCTTTGTGTGGGTGGACTCATTCCGAGCACCCACCCAGGGCTCTGGGCTCAGCCTCTGTGTTACACTCTCTTATTTGTTCCTTCCCTGCTGTTCACAGAGGGACACTCGGCATCCATCAGACCGGACTCCAACAAGGAGCGTGGCTGGTGACCGGCTCTGTGGAAGGAGCCTCTCTCTGTCGCTTCCTCCTGGGATAGCTTGCTGCGGTGCTTGGGGAGGGGGGCGTGGCATCTGCCTACGCTACCCAGGTCAAGGACCAGCCGTGAATGACAAGAGCCCTGTGCATGGAAGAAAGTGTCCTGGTCCCTGATCCTGTGCTGTCCACCCGGCCTGCGGGCTCTCAGTGTGGCCCTTCCCTTTCCTCACCTCAGCTTCCCTTTCTGTGAACAGTGTCCGTTGGAAGTTTAGATAGTTAATATCCTAGGATTCAATGAATGGCCAGCTATTTGAGGTGGAAGCAAGGGCGAAAGAGGAGCTGGGTGTGGGTGGCTCACAATTGTCATCCTACCCACTGAGCAGGCTGAGATCTGAGGATCGTGGTTCAGAGCCAGCCTGGGTAGGAAAGTCTGTGAGACTCTTATCTTCAGTAAGCCACCAAAAAACCGGAAGTGTCGCTGGGGCTCCAGTGGTAGAGCACTTGTCTTGAGCTGAAGAGCTCAGGGACAGCGCCTGGACCCAGAGTTCAAGCCCCATGACTACCAAAAAAAAAAAGGGAAAGAGGGAAGGGACGAGGACTTCATGGGACAATGGCTTTGGGCAGCACGGGATGACTGTGTGTGTGTGTGTGTGTGTGTGTGTGTACTGTGGTTTGAGCTCAGGGGCTCAGCTCGCTAGGCAGGCACTGTACCTCTTTAGTCATGCCTCTAGCCCAGGAAGTGAATGCTTTTAACTTTCATCTTTCTGACTCTGGCCGATACTCCCACATAGATTGCCAAGGTAATTTAAAGGACTTGTAAAAGCTTTTATTTACTTTTACAAAATCACTCTGTGTTCTTTAAAAAAAATAGATCAGAAAAACACAGATAAGAGCAACTTGTCTAGACCAATAATCTTCAAACTTCCTTAACTCTGTACTGCCAACACTCAGGGTTAATTTCTGGAAAACGTCTACATTTCTCTAACAACCATGCAATGCGTGGGGTGCAGTGGGATTGTGAATACATGCATACATATTAAATAATATTATATGTATATATTTAAGTCTCAATTTCCAGAAGACCAGCAGGTCGTCAGACAGATAAGCCCAGACTGGCTGGGCTCTTTTACATCTGGGAGCACTTGCCAGGCATTAGGAGCTTCTGAGTATTAATCTGATGGCTCTGTGGTTCTACCCTGGTCTGTGCGGCTCCTATGAGGAATTCCACACACGTTCTTGGCTGGATGAATGAAAGGATGAATGGGGAGAGATCACAGGACCGGAGTGAGAGAGGACTGCTTGGCTGTGAGCCATGGCAGGCAGCAGAAGCTTGGCCGTGTGCTGGTGAGACACACTGGGAAGTGGTCAGCGTGGCCTGGTCCTTCAGAGCTGGCCAGCCTGGGCTCTGTGACACTGAAGCCGTGGTCAGGGCTTTGAGAAAAAAATCACAGCATCACACTAGAGTTCAGAATGAAAGTGATCGCAGCCAACCTAGGGCTGTGTCTAGAAAGACAGAGTTGACCCCCAGATGGGTGTGCCTCCATCTTATAGCTAGTTTTTGGTTAGAAGAAAACCTTTATGTTATTAGCAAGCTGGAGTTCGTATAGGCATTTATTTAAATAGAAGTGTTCAGAATTTCCAGCCTGCCTCAGGAGTCCCGGTGAGATGACTCCGGTCAGCACCATGGGAGTCTTCCCATGGGCTGGGGTCATGTGTTCATGCATTTCTGATCTTCACATTCCCACCATGCATGTGTGTGTGCGTGTGCACGCGTGCGTGGAAGGAATGAAGCATAGACCAGTTCAGCTCACTGCGTCACGCATGGAAGGCTTTAGGAAACGTGGATCCCTTCACCCTCCTTGTGTGCTTTTGTCCTGCCTCCCTCCAAAGTCCTCCACCCAAAAAGTTCTACCCCTTTCCCTACCTGGCTCCACGTCCACAGCCCCTGGAAGAAGTTACCCATCCGGATGTGTCCAGCCCTTGCTCTTTGGACTGATCGCCCCAGTCCTGCATTGTTCACATTGTGAGAAGCAGCCCTGCATTCCACACGTTTGCTCCACGATTAGCTCACCGCTACCCCTGACCCCAGGATGCAGAAACTCAGTCCTGTCTCTGCATCAGACCGAGCGAATCATCCCACGGCTGGACTTCAGTTTCCTAAACTGTGACTCGGAGATAATGACATTGCCTGGCAGGGCTGTTGCCAGGGATAATGGATTTGAAAAACGTAAATGATTGCCCCAAAGTAGAGTACTGTTATTATCATCTCTGTCCAATCTCTGGAGCCTTTGCCTCCCGTGCCCGGTGGGGTGCTGCTGATAAATGTGTGATTGATTGGGGATGGAATTGCTTGGTGACAGCTCCGGGTTGCGCTAATCCCGCAATTACTCCCTTCATTGGCAATGCAAAACCTCTTGCACTTTTGTGTCCATCTCCAGTATATTCAGCCTTCAGCTGGCAAATCGGGGGCTATACCCCCTTAGAGAACAAAACTGCACCCCAAGAAAATGACCCTGGGCTGTACCCCAACCCCATGTCTGACAGGCAGCTTGGGACATCACCTAGAGCCGTGGAGGGCACTCCTGAGCGGAGGCAGCGCGTGGGGCAGCTCCCCTGCACCGAGCCTCAACCCGCCTGAGAAACACCAGTCCTTTCTGTTCAATATATCGTGGCATCAGATGGCAGCTTGTAGAATACTCCTCCTGACATGCTTCCCAAATGAGGAAAAGGAGGTGCGGCAGCAGCAGCCCCCCACAGGCAGCGAGAAAGAGCAGTCTTTTCTTTGGGAGGTTTTTGAGAAGAAGCCAGGCAGCTCCCCCCCGCCCCGGGTCGAAAACTCTGGTTTGGACTTGCTGGCAACTGCCTCTCGAAGCTCATCTTTTGTTAGTCTGCCGAACAATGTTATTGGTTATAATTGGGGCAATTATGGGCTGCTCAAGGATGCTAAACACAGATGTTTAAGCCCAGGATCAGGGTATTCAAGTCCAAAGCAGCTTGCTTTAAATAGTCCTTTCCCGAATCATCCAGCCTCTCTTGAAATCTGCCCCCCCCCCGCCCCCTCCCAGAACTTGCTGGGGTGAAATGTTCAGACAGAGATGGGTGGGGGAGGGGAGGAGATGGGTAGAAAGGGAGGGAGAAGTCAGACACACAACAGGAAAGATGCACAAAGACCGGAGGGGGAGGGGGGGAGAGGGAGAGAGAGAGAGAGAGAGAGAGAGAGAGAGAGGGAGAGAGAGGGAGAGAGAGAGAGGGAGAGAATGATCAGATGATTTATGAATGGACAGTTCCAAGCAACCCGAACGGAGACATCTAAATGGGAGAAGGGACGATAAGGGAAAGATGCCAAGAAAGACGGGAGACCTGGAGGTGGCTTAAGAGCTGAAGGACCAAGGTCATGCCTATAAAACCACCCTCAGCCAGAGCAGAACCTGCCCTGGCTGCCTCTCCCCTCCCATCATCAGGAGCGATTTCTACTGGGGTGTCAAGGAGCAGGGGCTCCCTTAGATGAACAAGTCCAACCCAAGTGGCATCAAGTTCAAGGTACGTTCAGAAACAGCCTGCACACAACATCGGGAGAGGGAAGGAAGCCTCTCTCTCTCTCTCTCTCTCTCTCTCTCTCTCTCTCTCTCTCCCCCTCTCTCTCTCACACACACAAAGAAAAACCCACGCTGGTGTCCTGCCAATACCGCACGGCGTCTGACCTCACTTCGGAGCCACCTTTTCTCTGAGATAGCATCGACCCAGTCAGGGCCAGCCCTGGAGAAGCAAAACTTTTCCTCATTTCCAAGTTCAGCTTTCTTCTTCTGCATTTCTCTTTGAGATTACACACACACACACACACACACACACACACACACACACGCACACACACACACACACACACACACACACACACACCCCAAACCCAGAAGAAACAAAAGTCCCCATCCAACCCTCAGCCCTCCTCTTTGCCCTCCCCGATCCCAGCTCTGCAAATCCCATGAATGAAGTTGTCATCTCACCGAGGCCAGCAGCGGTGACACTGGACAAAGGCAGGGGCGGAGGATCCGCGGGCTGGCCGGCGTCGTCCGGGCCGTGGGGTGGCAGGGCCCGGCCTCCTGCGGCTGTCTACCTGAGCGCTGTCAGTCGGCTGTGAGGCTCGGCTCCTCGCTGGAGCATATATATCCTCCGCACGCTCGGCCCTCCCCTTCTCTGCCCACCTCGATGACACACACACACATGCTGACCCTTCACCAACCAACAGCACAACCTGCCCCCCCCCCCCCCGCACTCAGACGTGTGACACACCAGCCTCCCCCACCCTGCAGCCTCCAGCCGGCTTCACCTGAACTCCGCTCAGCCAGGATCCCACGGCTGCTGCTCTCTGCCTTCCACGAGCACCGGAGGCCGGCAGGGAGCTCTGACAAGTCAGTCACCAGAACCGACTCCTGGCGACAGGGACCGGGCACACCCCAAAGCCTGGAGCCTCTCAGCAACCTTTTGCCTGAGAGGAGAGAGGAACAGACAGCAGTCAGGAGGGAGGGGTGATCCTGCCCGGCTCCCACTGACTGGCTGAAAACCAGGCTGAGCCCCCTTAGAGTGTCACCGTCCCAGGATGGGCCACAGGGGGCCACTGCCTGCCGTGGGGCCGGGTCATGAGGCGCCTCCACAGGTGCCCCGGGGCATGGGCCAAGGCACAACGCCCCGCCCGGCTCAGAAGCAGGAGCTGGGATTCTGGTTCCTCCATCCAAGCGAACCTCAAGTTTTTGTCTGTAAAGAAATGGGCACCGTGCGTGCGTCCAGGGGTGGCGGGGGTCTGTTTGAATCTGGGTCACTGAGGCCTGAGCAAGTGCTCCCCCTCCCCTGCCCGCCCTCTTCCCCATGAACGGTAAGGTCACCAGGCTTTCCAAGCTGCCTCTGCACCTTAGGGTGTCACCTTAGCGTAGGAGCGGTTGGAGACACCCTGGCTCTTGCTCGGAGCTTTCTATTCTTCCCGGCTCGGGCAGGGAGCGAGCCACAGGCAGGAGGCTTGCAGGCAGTCAGGGCTCCAGGTTCAAATCTTGCAGCATCCTGGCAGGGGTGGGGGCGGGGTGGGGAGGTGGGATGCCCTTTTCTGTGTCTGGACCTGTATCTTGCTTTTCTCAAGAGGAGCTAAGGTAACCCAGAACCCCAGGAACGGAGCCCGTGTTTTCCAAGAAGCTGAGCAGTCACCGAAGTGACAAGTCTGCTCTTTTGAGGACCGGGCCCTGGGTAGGGGAGGGGTGGGAGGGGCAGGGGAGGCTGAGGAAGCCCCTCCCCCTGCCCTGAGTGCTACTGCATCTAGTTTCCTTTGAACACGATAGAAGAATCTGGAATCTGTGATGGAAGGGGCTGGAATTCAATTGTGCCGCATGATGGATACTAACTAAACTCACCAAATAACAGGCTTTCAAATGATGAAATTTTCACCATGAAATTATATCTTAATGAAAAAGAAGTGAAAAGAAACGGTAAGTAAGAAAGCACTCCTCAGGCAGAGAGCGATGCGTTCTGCGAGAGCTCCCCCCTCCCCTCCCCTGCTCCAGGCCTCCGCTCTCTGACTCTCTGACTCTTCCTCCCTCAGATCTCTGCGTTCAAACTTTGCACTTATTTCAGGTTAAAGCTACTGCTATGAACTCTGGTAAACCAGCAAGTTCTGGGGATCTGTTTTGCATCCTGATGTACTTTGGGGTCCCAGGGCAAAAGCTTGATTTCACACATGCTTTGGGAGATATTGCTGCCTACCTAGTACCCACCCCACCTCCATTTTTCCTTGCAAAACAGTACTGTTAGTTTTATTTCAGTTATCAAGACGCTCAGCTAAAGACTATATTTCTTGGTCTTTCATATAGCTAATTGTAGCCAATGAGGATCAGGCTTCCAGTCCCTGGGTGTGACTTCTAGGAAAGCTCTTTTAAAGGGGGCCAACTCAGCTTAGAGAGTCTTTTTTCCCTCCCTCCCTCTCTCCCTCCCTCCGTCCCTTCCTCCCTCCTCTCTCCCTTCCTTCCCTCCTTCCTTCCTTCCTTCCTTCCTTCCTTCCTTCCTTCCTTCCTTCCTTCCTTCCTTCCTTCCTTCTTCCCCTCTAGCAGATACCTTGGAGCTAGCTAGAATGACAGCCAGTGGCCTGGGCTGGCTGGGTCCTGTGCAGCCAGGCTGCCTCCACACCAGAGGGGCAGGGGTGGGGAGCGTCCTCCGACCAGACAGCCTGTATGGATTGGGGTGAGGTGTTCTCTTCAGCCCCTGGAACCCCAGCCACCCCTGGAGAGCATCCAGCTGCCCTCTCCACCTGACCTGAAAGTGAAAACAGATGATGATGGGGAGTGGGACTCGGGGAGAGTGGGCGTGGTGGCTTCCTAGGCCCCCTGAGGACGAGGCTCTATTAGCTGCAGCAGGAGAGTCTCAAAGCAGGTGTGGCAGGATCTGAAAAGTCCACCACCTCCACCCAGACAGCCATGTCCCTCTCAAGGCAAAGAGTCTCCTCCTCCCAGGTACCTGACTGCCCCAATTCTCTGATTAACTATGGCCCCTGCAGCCACTCGGTCTCCTTAGAAACCACAGCTACAGGGTCCCAGCAGAAGTGGCAGCTCCTCCTCCTCCTCCTTTTCTTCTTCCTCCTCCTCCTCCTCCTCCTCTTTCTCCTCCTCCTCCTCTTCCTCTTCTTCTTCGTCTTCTTCTTCTTCTTCTTCTTCTTCTTCTTCTTCTTCTTCTTCTGCTTCTGCTTCTGCTTCTGCTTCTGCTTCTGCTTCTTCTTCTTCTTCTTCTTCCTGGAAAACACCTTCAAGTAGGAGCTACTAGAGACAAGTTATTTACCCACAATTTTGCATCAAATTATGGTTGGACCATCAAAGACACTGAATTGCACTGATCAGTAAGAGGTAACTGTTTTTATTATTTTTTATTGTAAAGGTGCTGAATAGAGGGGTTAGTTACATGAGTAAGGTAATGAGTACATTTCTTGTCAAACATTGTTACCCACTCCTTCATTTTTCTCCCACTATTCCTTACCCCTCACTCTTCTCCCCCCCCTCCAAGTTGTAAAGTTCATTTCCAGCATAGTATTTGTTTTTAATTTGGGTTTGCTGCACCAAATTTGTTTAATTTGGGCCTCAGGCATGCTAGGCAAATGTGAAATGAGCAAATCAGGGTAATTAGCATATTTATACCACCTCAAACTTTGTGTTGGAGACATTTGAAATCCTCTCTTCTTGTTATTTAAAAATATGCAATAAATTATTAGCAGCAATGGTATAAAACATTAGGAATTAATATTCTTGTCAATTATTTTAAACTAATCCTTCCGTATCCTCCTGCCCCTTAGCTCTGGAAATTACTATTCAATTCTATGAATTCAACTTCCTTCCTTTCCTTCTTTCCCTCCTCCTCCTCCCTCTTCTCTCTCTCTTTCTTTCTTTTCCTTCATTTATTCCTTTTCCTTCCTTTCTCTCTCCTCCCCTCACCTCTCTCTTTCTTTCTTCCCTTCTTTCTATGGGTCTAATTATGTTGGTCTCATAGTACTGGGCTCAAGTGATCCTCCTATCTTAGCCTCCTAAGTGCTGGGACTATAGGTATGCACCACTGTACCTGACTGAGTTTAACTTAAGCTCCCATACCTGTGAGACATATTTGTTTTCTGTACGTGGGGAGTATTTCACTTAATATAACATTCTTGACTTCTGCCACATTGCTGCAAGTGACTGGACTCCTGGGATCTTTGTGGCAGGATGGAACTTTGCAGTGTACAACTAACACTTTATAAACACTCCATCCTTCTATTCACGGACACTGAGCTAGAGTCTTTGGCCTTGTCTCCGGTGAACAATACTGGGATAGACATAGAAATACATTATCTCTTTGACATAATGGATTCTGATTTCTTTATCTACACTCCAATAAGTAGTTGGATAGCTGGGTTGGATGGTAGTTCATATATATATATATATATATATATATATATATATATATATATGTGTATGTATATACTTTTAAGGGGAATCATTAACTGTTTCCACAATGTCTGAGCCAATGGCCATTGCCACCAGCCATGGCTGAGGCCCCTTTCTCCCGCACCCTGGCTGCTATTGCTGCCCCTGGGTTTCTGTTGCTAGCCGTTTAGCTGGGATGAGAGGACGTAAGCGCTGGGTTTTACATGAAGCGCAGGGCAATGTAGACAGGCTGCCATGATTGCCGTTGCTAGTAGAGGATTCACTACCCATGTCCTGCTGAGTGCTGTGCTAAGTTGTCACGTAAGTAGAAAGGCCTCCTTACGGGGGCCCTGGCCAGGCTTATGAGAGGTGTCCTGCTCAGAGTCTGCCAGTGGCTCAGGTCATTCGAGAGTTTGAAAGTCCGTGACGGGTGTTAATCGTAGATCGGACTGGGGGGAAGAGACAAGTTCAGGTGAGAAGAGCGGTGACAGGATGCTTATCTTTTTGAAGATCCTGAAGACCAGTGGCAGCGGGTGCTGGGTTAGAAGGTGGCAGAGGCAGGCGTGAGGATGGGGGGGGATTCCAAGCTCTGCTTGGGCTGTGACAGCCAGGTCTCTGGAGACCACAGGTCTCCAGTTGTGCTGAGGCCCTCCCTTGGCTTCTTGACTGCCATGTTCTCCTCTGGCCCCCAGACTAAGGGTGTAAAGCTAAGGACGCTCCTTGCCCTGCCCTGTGGCATGCCACAGTGGCTCTCCTGGCAGCACCATGATGAGCTGCTGATGAACCTCGGATGGTAGGCTATAGAAACTGAGGAAGGGCCTTGTTCACGGGACTCTGGAGGCTTGCACCTGTTACCATAGTTACTTGGGAGGCTGAGACCTGAAGAATTGTAGTTGAGGCCAGCCTGGGCAGAAAAGTCTGTGAGATCCTAGCTCCAGTGAGGCTCAAGTAGTAGAATGCCAGCCATGAGCAAGACAAGCTGGGTGAGAGCCTGAGGCCATGAGTTCAAGTTCTGGTACTATCTCACCAAACACACAAACCAGAGAAAGGAAAGGAAGAGAAAGAAACTCTGTCTTCGGGAGGAGCAGGCTCTGAGCCCAGCAGGGGGGGCGCAGCTCTGTCCAGGCTGGCGCCGTGGATCTGAGTGTGTGGATCTGAGGC